GCAAGGTGTCACTGGTCGTCTTTTGGACAACTGTCAAGTCAGCAGTCTTCCCCATGATCGTGTAGCCTACAGAACTAGACAGAGACCATTTAAAGATCTTTGCAGGTGTTTTGAGTTAATTAGCTGATTAGAGTGTGGCACCAGGTTCTTCAATGTTGAACCTTTTCACAATATTCTGATTTTCTGAGATACTGAATTTGGGGTTTTCATTAGTTGTCACTTATAATCATCAACATTAAAATAAATAAACATTTGAAGTATATCAGGCTGTGTGTAATGAACGGATATAATTGTAGTGAACTAGATGGCCTGATGATCTGACCCCCATCTGACCCTGATGACCTCAAATCTACCAGATGGACAGAGACTGTTATTTTCATTGATTTGAATAAGTCTGAGCCATCTGATGAACTTTCTTTCTTGAATTAATCAAGCAGAAAAGACAATCCTCTATAATCATTACTGTCTTACAAATGTTTTGATAATCAAATTGTGTTAGTTCACTCAATGCTTTACAGGTTGAAAAGAACTACTCATTTTTATTTTACATAAACAGTAAGTAATGATTTTTATTCCTCATTCAAACAAGAAATCACCTGAATATGCATTTCTTGATTTTCTGTCTGAAATGAGTCAAGTCGTAAGTGTGTGAAAGTTGAAGCTTCGGTCAACTAAATGTTTACTGAAGAAGAAATGTCATGTTTAAACTTTTTCAGAAGATTACCAAGAGTTGGCTCCACGAAGTCTGCTTTTTGCAATAATCTCTCTGTCAGTTGTTAAACAAATTTCATTCTCTGACCTCGACTTTTGATAAACACCTTACGTCAAAACCACTCCTCTTTCTGGTCCATCCACGAATCAGAAAGCTCTGAAGTAAACTCGGAAGTAAACTCATTTAAAATGTGACAACTTCCCGGTTCTGTTAGAGAGTTGGAATGGTGAAGAATGGAAAAGATTCCGAGAATGAAAAAGTTCTGAAGGAGTTCAGAAGAAAACTAGAGTTATGGAGAAGATCTGAAAGAGTCTGAGAGCTGCTGACAATGAAGAGTCAGAGTTACTAGAATCCAGAGACGTTTTGGGATTATGATTCTGTTTTGAGCTAACCACGCACGACTCTCCAAGGATTTTAGCTGTTCTCAACGGAGACGCTGATATCAGTTGAAAAGGATTCTTACTGAGGTGATCGATCGTCAACAAGGTAACGGTTTCTTCTTCGACTAAAGTGTACCTGGGACAAGCTGAGATACCTGACGGAGCGTGCAATTTCTGGTTAAACAGATTAAATTCCCTCACATATTCCTCTGTAAGATAAATCTCAATTTCCTCTTAAACTCACCTCTCTCTCATAAATCAGTACAGATATTTTTAGAAATATCTGAAGCAAAGTCCTCAAATCACCGCCGAGTGATTTGAAGTTCATTATTTGTGAAACTGTCTGTTATTATTTTCATATTTTGCCAAATTAATGTAAATGTTTGATGTTAAACTTTGATTCTGAAAATAAATGACTCCATTCATTTGATGGGTCAAAGGTAATAACGTCTCTCGTTACATTTCTGTTAAATTCAATGCACGGCATTACACAGTCAGAAAAATGAAGAACTCGTGAAAAGTATGCATAAATATATATTTCATATATTTGTCATACAACAAGTGACACGTACCCACGTGACTCACTACATAATATACAAGTTTGACTTTTTGAATGGAATTACCAGTCAACTTTTCATGATATTCTAATTTCATGACCAGCACCTGTATATTCACCACCATCCACATTTTTATTTTATTTTTTTATGTGGTGTTTCATGCATACAATTAAACCATCAATGGATAAACATTTACAACAAATATGGTTTGACTTTAAAAAAAATACTTAAACAATCCATCCATCCATCATCTTAAGCTTATTCCGGAGTCAGGTCGCGGGGGCAGCAGCCTGAGCAGGGAGGCCCAGACATCTCTTTCCACAGCCACCTCTTCCAGCTCTTCTGGAAGGATTCCAAGTTGTTTCCAGGCCAATCGAGAGACTTAATAGTCTCTCCAGTGTGTCCTGGGTCTTCCCCGGGGTCTCCTCCCAGTTGGACATGCCCAAAGCACCTCTCCAGGGAGGCGCCCAGGAGGCATCCTTACCAGATGCCCGAAACAATTGGTAGAAAATTTGAGTTGAAACGGATGGATTTCAATGGAATCCTCAATGACTAAATCTGTGTTGTTGTCGTTGTTGTTGTCGTTGTTGTTGTCGTCGTTGTTGTCGTTATTACGCTGTGTTAAGCGTTCAGCTGTTCCCGTTTCTTTTTAAACTTCTGGCTTCCTGAAGTTTCACAGTCTTCTACAATTTCTAAAGGTTTTATTTATTTATTTACTCCTCCTTGGTAATTTTATAAAGCCTTAAGGGGAAAGTGGCCGGCAGACACGCCTCCGTGTCAAAGGTGACATTTACAAACGTCTGTGTCTTGTCCTGACGGCAGCCGTTTCTGCAGATTGGAAATAAGATAACCGATACGGAGAGTTTCCAGGAAGTAAAGATCCGCTGTGGTGGGTTGGGTGTTATTTTGCCAACGCCAGCAGGTCGTAAGATACAGCCTTCTGTGGTCAGTTTTCTGTTTGGTGACTGAGTTTCAGGTCTTCAAACTGGCCTGTCTGCAAGGTTTTCTGGACCAGCAGGGTTTCAAGCAGCACCGCCTCGATCACTCCTTTGGCTAAAGTTTCTTCAGACCGAAACGCAACTTTTCTGAATTCAAAACAAGTTTACAAACTGCTGCTTAACTGGTTCAGCTACAAAGGCCATCCTTAAACTTCCAATATCAAAAATTATCTTGACTATATTTTTTGGATTTAAAAACTAAATCTTCAAATTTAGTTTAGACTTGAAGCTGAACAGACAAGAAATCCTGAGATAAATACTCCGTATCACTACTCAGCCTGCAGAGTACCAGCGTGTCACTTTTGGTTCTTATCATTTAACTGTGCTGTGACCCAAAACTAACGTCTCGCCACCTTTCAAGCACTATTCAACAACAGTATGTGTTTAGTTTTGTGTCAGCCTTGAGAAGTAACCTTTCCTGTGTAATGAGTGCTTAAATGTTCCTTTCACTCTTCCTGAGAAGATCATGTTTTGGGGAAAACGTGTTGAAATTCCCATTTGATTTTAATGCTAAATAAAACGTTTTTATGCTTATAGATTAGAGTAACGTCTCAAGTGCAACACAGTTGTGAGTTAATAAAACAAGATGATTGACAAGCTAATTTAATATATTAAATATTTTACAGTTTTTTTTTTTTTTTGTGCTACAACTTTAACGTCCTGATTGAAATATGCTTAAGTTTATGAGTTCATCCGTCAGCAGAACTCGATTACACATCAGCAGGTCATTATTAAAAACGCACTAACAGGCTGTGGTCTGCTCCTCTACACAGAGTTGCTGTAATCAGAATTTATTTTTATATTTATTTAAACCACTTATCAGAATGATTTCCGACTGAGCTGAAACCCACGTTATCAGACGACCGAGTGCCGCTATCTACACTCCTTTGTCTGCATTTTGGGGTTTGCTCGCATGTCCTACTTTTTTTGTATTTTTATCACTTTCTTTTAGTCGGAGACTTTACAGCTCCGAGCTGATTGGACATCTGAACTTAGCTGCCTGGATAGTTTGCCTGAGTAAAACCTGATCATATGAAACATCACCAGTCCTGTTTACGGTAATGACCTCTACTACGAGCTACAAGAATATATATTTATTTCAGGCAATTAGCCAGGAAGACTTTGACCTCGACACGTAGGATTTTGATTCATGCTGGAGGTTTTGATCCAGTTCTCTGTTTGGTAAATTTTCTTAGTGGCTCCAGGTCTTTTAACATTTGGCTGCTTTTTCACTCGGTTTCAGTCCTCGTACCTGAGCAGGATGACTCTAGGTGCGGTTACTTTTTAAGGACAAATACACTAAAAGCACAAGTGAAATGTGTTTCGATTGTCCGCTCCCTTCCCCCATCCGTGGAATTTTGTTCCCAGACTGCCTGGCATTCCTCACTGCTGCATCATGGGACCATTGCCTGACTAAAACACACAAACCTGCTGGTGGGAGATATCACACAGGTTGTTGTTGTGTCACTGGAAGATAAGGCATCCATCCATCTGTCAGCCTGTTTATTGTTACATCCCCTCGCTTTCTCCCCATTCATCCCCAACCCGCTCTCCCTCTCTTGCCTCACCCTTTGTTTTCTCATTCCCTCCACCACCTCCTCATACTAAATGCTGTGCTGAGACCACCTGGTTTCTAATGAAGCTGATGCTGGTGTATCTCCCGTTGGCTGGTTGAACTGGGCCAGTTCCATGATGACCCAAAGGGTTTTCCAACTAGGCCTGTCACGATAACAAATTTTGCTGGGCGATTGTCTTAGAAATTATTGCTATAAATGATAAAATTGTTTGAAAGTTGATAATAATTAGTAAATATTGTCAAATTTAAGAAGAAATGTTGGTTCATTTTATTTTGAATGTAGTATCTTTTTTTCTGTAATCTTAAGTTTTCTTGCTGTAGTTCTCCAGACTTTATGAAGGTCTGCCTTTGGATTTTATCTGCTCTTGCTCTCAGATTTATTCTTGTTCAGTCTTATTTTACTTCATTTTAATCTTCTAGACATTTTGTTACCAACAAAGATACAATTTGAGCCAATTTCTCTGGTCAAATCTATGGAAAAACGACCAAATTCATGTGGAGCAGAATTAAAGTTCTGTCTACATGTTCACTTTTACTGAGCGTACTGTTGTTGTGTACAAACAGGTGTAATCAGTCAGACTTACTGTATGAACTGTTAAACGTTTGACTTTTTTTACAATCTGTTAAGCTGTTTGTGTTTTTGTCTGGTTTTACTGTTTGCTGAGACTTTATTTTAGCGTAAAGAAAAATTAGTGAAAGGCGATTTATTAAAGCTGCAATATACAAAAATTGGGCCCACAACAATTACATCTGTAATTATTTTGTTTTTCTCCACAGGTGATGGTGTCATGGCCGCCTTGTTTACTGCATCACTGTCCCAGAATTCCTAATTATCTTGGCATAATTAAACCTAAACACTCGTGGAGCCAGTAAGGCGCTAAACACACAGAGTGTGTGAAGGATGACGACCTCCCATCTGAACGGCCACGTTGCCGGGGAGGGAGGAGGTCGAGGAGGAGACGAAGAGCTAAGAGGACAGCAGCACCGAGAAATGGCCGTCGATTGTCCTGGAGAACTCGGGAGTCGAACACTGCCGATCCGACGATCTGCACAGCTGGAGAGGATACGACAGCGTCAGGTATTTTTACACACCTGCCACCTGAATACTTCTGTTCCTCTTGCTGCAAACAACCTCTCAGTTGGCATCACAATAAAAAAAGATGTATGGTTCTCAGGGGCTTCTGACTAATTTTGACATCTCAACCCTAAACATTTTTTTATTTATTTTACAAGTTGTCAAACGTTCCACTTCCTTTCAGATCCCTCTGACTGCTTCAAACAAAGCAGCCTCTAAATGTATGCAGCAACAGAACAAACGTCTCTGGTGGACGCTCTGATTTTTTTTTCTTGATAGAAGCTAGAGTTTTAGTTTGTAGCCAGTTCATAATGCCAGTTTTTTTTCTGTTTTGGCTGCCAAAGTCCAACTCTAGTTCAGAAAAACAATGTTGCAATATCATCAGCTCCTTAGGCCAGTAACCTACAGGGCTACGTCTGTTGGAGACCAGTTGACAACTCACTATTGCAAGCAAATTGACACATTTTCATTTGCAGTCTCACTGATTCTGATTGTTTGCTAACAAGCTAGCGGCTGCGTTTTGGGCAGCCAGTTTAAAAATAAATAAAAGGTTTTGTGCACGTTGTGTTCAGTTATTCTAGGCTGTGCACACGATTTGGTCACTCACGTCGTTCCTGCCTCTGCTTGCCTTGTACCAATGTTTAGGATTTGATCCATGAGTACACTTTATTTTCTATACCTGCTTTTCTGTGAAAATAGGAAGATTGGGACTGTTTGTTTGAGCCACTATCAGAACGTGCTATTTACTGTATAAGGCTGAGCTGAATACAGCTCAGACTGAAGAAGTCTTTCGGATGAAAAACAAAACGCTTCTACATTTTTTTGTTTGTTTGTTTTTGAATCTGTCCAGAGGACCTGACTTAACTTTTTTTTTTTTTTAGAAGATCTGGGCAAGTTTTTAATTAATTATTTGTAGGGATGCACAATATTATTGGCATGGTATCTGTATTGGCTGATATTAGTGATAAAGTTAAATATCGGACATTCCATCAAAATAACTCCCCAATATAAAACGTGGTCTTTTACCATCCCTTCCTCTCACACTGGACTTACAGGCTGGACCTAAATATGACTCTTAGTGTTTCAGCCTTGCTTAAATTACTTTAAGAGCAGGCTGTGTTCTCTGTTACACCATTTTTTTAGTAGCAAATAAGCCTAAAATAAGAGGGGTATGTTCTGACAAAGGAAAGAAGCTGACAATATTGTTTTGCACTTTTCATTTTATTTGCACATAGCTGAATTCTTAGAAATTCGAGTTGATTATTAAGATTGTAAAACCACAAATTGGGCTTCTGTTTTAAGTTACAAGTAATTTGTAATTTAAGAAACTGTCATGTATATCTATCAAAGCACTACTACTTATGCGCTTTTCGCATGTCGCTTGTGAACAGATAGTTTAGATTTGTGAACATTTACAAATTTGCACTGTTTGAGTGTTGTCATTGTGTTAGAGAGAGTAAATGTCATGATTGACATTAAACATAATCCAAGTTGAAGTGTTACATCATTTTCAGCCCCCCCTTTTTTTTTTTTTTTGCATCTGCATTTGGAAGCAGGCCAAACTGACAAAGACCATGCAGAGTAATGTAGTATTTTAATTCCACAACAGATAAAACTATGTAGTCTCTGTAAGTAGGTCTAAGAAAAAAAAAAAATCAGTATTGATATCGGCCAAATAAGTTTTAACATATTGTCATATCGGCCAAAAATCCAATATCGTGCATCTGTGTGGTTATTTTAGGCCGTTTAAGGCTGTAACCTTGAATGTTTTCTGTCTAAGGAAAGCTATCAAAAATAGCTCGAGTTCTCCAGAGTTTTAGAAACTAAATTGAGAAGGTTTTAAGACACCCGTGACGTCTTCGTCTATTTTGAGAGTAAATTTGTTTTTACAACATATTCAAAAGTCAAAACGTAGAACCTCTGCGACTCACGTGAGGAAACTGAGCTCTGCGGACATTTAGATGCGTTTCGGAGACTCCTTTGAGGATACTGTTTGTCCAGTGAGATGCTGACTTTACTGGACCAGATCTAAAAACCACTGGGCCACCATCATCACCGTGTTTAAAGAAACCAAGCTAGTGCAGCATTATTTCTGCTCAACTCTGCAAAAGGACAATAAAAATCAAAGCTTTCACTTTAAGGGTTTAAAGCTGCTTATCTTTTTTTTTTTTGTCATGTTCCTGCTTTTTACTTTACGGTCTGTGTTTTCACAACTTTACAAACGGTGCTGCGAGCCAGAATTAGTATTCAAATATCAGGCTTTCTGCATGAGTGGTGTGCTTGTGCACAAACAAGGGAAATCTATGCAACAAAAATGACTCGACAAAGCCCAAGAAAGTAAAATTATTGCTCCTCTTTTTAAAAAGAAAACTGATTTAGAGTAAACCAGAAAAATAAAAGTGTGTATTTATGTCTGAGTCATGTACTTCACAAGTTATTTTAGTGTTTTATTTCCCTGCATTGTTATCCCAGTAGTGACTAGTGTGGCATCTTTTAAGCTCCTGTAAAATCTGTGACTACTTTGTGTTGACGTCACAAAGGTGAGCTAAAAGGCAGCCTGAAATGTCTCAACCCGATTTGGAAGCATAACATCTCACCACTGTGATGCATTTTGCCTTCAAATAAAACATTCGATACCCTGAATTATGCGACTGCTACAGGGAAATTTGGCAACATCTTTCATCAAACCTGAATAAAAAGTCAAGTGGACGTGTACAACGTGTTGTATATCTGTCTTGTAAGCAAGAAAACATGAAACTAGAATATTCTGTCCTGTTAGTAATGGTGCATTTATTTCTCTGTTTATGTTTTAGGAGGATCTTCGGCGGCGCAAGGAGGAGGAGGGTCGGCAGCTGGATCTGAACACCTCCCTCAGACTCAGGAAACTCTCCCAGAATCCCAGCATCGGGATTGACAACCCCACATTCCTTCAAGACTCTTACATACCACATCAGCCGGTGCTCGGCAGCCAGCACACTCAGCCGCTGCTGGGTAAAACGCACAATAAACCTTCAGTAAAACGAGGGATGCAGAAGAAAGAGAGAAAAAAGGAAGGGAGAGGGGAAGTGAGAAGGCATGTGAGGAAGAAATGTGTCCTGTCAGGAAGGGAATTCCTCAGGGAGGGAGAGCTGCACACAAGAGGCTCAAGAGGGCGACTTAATTAAAACTGTTGGCTGGTGGCACAAGGAGTAACACACACACAGTGTAGATCCTGATGAGAAAGTCCCACATTAATCTGGAGCTTAAGTCTGTCCTGGTCTCTTGTTTTGTGTCTGGTTTGTAGACGTCTGTTGAGGTTTAACAACATGAGTTATTGCATGTTTCTGCAGAGTTGGAGGAGTTGCTGCTGTCACTGAAGCAGGTTCGAGGCTTCCTGCCTGACCAGCAGAGCCAGAATGACGTAGAGCTGGTGCTTTCACTACTTAACAAGGTAATGACAAGAAAATGCACCAAAACAACCCTCGGGTCGAAGCTTTAAACATGATCTAATGTCTAGTTTGTACAGTTTATGATTTTATGTAACTTTTGTCTAACCCTGAAAAAATGACAAATGTGCTTAAATATTGCCAGAGTTTTAAACCAAGACCGTCTCATAAGAAAGTATGGATGTAAAGTACTCCCATTATGTGGTGAGGATGACTCTCAGCTACTGTCACACAAGGCTTTAATTTGAGCAAGTTGTAAACATTTTTGTGTTGGCTAAGGTTTTCCACCTTGAATCAGAGTTATTCAGTTGTAAACATCTAATGATCACTTTCTGAGAGTCATTTCATTTAAATCCGTCCAGAGGTCCATAAAATAATTTGCCAATATATTTTCGGTTTCAGTTTTTCTTTGGATTTTGGATGCCATTTTCTCTTTTTTATTTATTTATTTTTTATAGAACTTAAAATACAGCCGGACATCGTGGAGTGCGTCTTTAAGAAATTGGAGCACTTTTGACAAATGAATGCCAAAAGTAGCAGCGTCAAACCTCAAAGCAGTATTAGAACGTCCAAGACACAAGAGCTGCATCATCCTTCAGTTGATCATTGACTGATTGAACCGCAATAGATCTAAAATCCCATTTTTGAATTACCATTTTTGTAATTTTGCACAGATTAAACCGAAGAAATTGGAACAAATTGTGTATTTGTGACAAACTGCTGGTAACCTCCAGTTAAAAAAACATTTAGCAGTTGTTTTAAAGAATCACTGTAGTGTTATGATTTGTGGTATTCTGACTTTGATGTGCTTTAAATGAAGGGGAGAAATAATAAAATGTTGCTTAAAATTTTTTATGTAAAATTATATGTTAAAAAAAGATTGAATTACAAATTTACATGAAGAATTAGAGTCAAGAGAGATTTATTTGTCATACACATCACACGTGATACAGGATGGTGGGACGAAACTACATAGGGTCCCAGTTACAGCCAACAAAAACACAAATTGTAAGGAAAACTGTAAGATCTGAGTCATGAACTAAGAATACACTACAGTCACAAAACTAAGAATACACTAAGCACTAATGATACAAAAACAATGCGCCAAAACAACAGCAGCACGAACATGAGTCTGTATGAGCAGATGAGGATTAACATGAAACGTGAAATAATCAGCAGCATGAGATCAGCATCATGGATAGTCAGCACATATGAACAACCAAGTGGTATTACAGTGATTTTTCACAGTTTAAAAAATAGATTTTTTCCCAGTGATTTTTCCTGGTTAGAGATTCATGAGTCTAACGACCTCAGGGTAGAAGCTGTTCCTCAGCCTGGTAGTTCTGTATTTAATGCTCCTCAGCCTTCTGCCTGAAGGGAGCGGGGCAAAAAGTGTGTGTGCTGGGTGAGTGGGGTCCTTCATGATGCAGGTGGCCCTCTTCCTGCATCTGGAGGTGTAGATGTCTGTGATGGTGGGGAGGCTGACAAGTTGTAGGAAGCTATAACTTTTGTTGTTCCATCCTGCAGTAGCAGAAGCTGAATTTAATGCAAACGATAATTAACAATCAGAAAATAAAAATAAGAAAGACCTGCTGGACTCTTAACAGCTCATAAACGGCAACGAGTCTGAGACTGAAAGAAAACAATCCAGATGTTCCTCGGAGCTGTAACTTAATTAACAGACGTGAACTTTCAGGTGTCTTTTTTTGTTTGTTTGGTTTAGTCTGATTTCCAGTCTGCGCTGAAGATCCATAATGCTGTGGCCTCCAGCATGCACCGACCCTCTCCTCCGTTCCCGCAAACACAGCAGGCGCATCCACTGGCTATGGAGGTAACACCCAGACTCGTTTTATCCCAGGTGCTCTTCATGTTGTGACAGAAGTCCGAGACGAGAAACGGAGCATTTATTTCCTAGTGTTAAAGTAACGACACCAAGCTGCTCAGAATCAAGTGTTTTCCTCCGTTTTGTTAGTGGTTTAAAAGTAAACATCCAGGCCACTTGTACGCCTGGTTCCAGGAACGTTCTCCTGCCACAGGGTTGAATTTGTGCATGGCTCATTTCAGAGGAATCTCATTAAAGGCAGCACATTATTTCTGCTCCACGTTGGCATCTCCACCCCCTGCCCTGCATTCAGCTTCCAAAAAGAAGAGCTTATGTTCACTCTGCAGCCCCACAAACATGCTCCTTTGTCTCAGTAATGAAGTGGAAAAAGAAATGCGTGATTAAAAATGGCCACGGCAGGCTGGATTATTTTAAACTCTCGAACATACTTGGTTCAACTTCAGCTCCTTTTTTTATGGGGAGAAGTTAAGTTTGACTTGATTTGAGACAAATTATTATATCTGGAACTTGATGAGAGAAATTTGATTTGAAGTCATGAATTGAAATAATCTACTTCTTTGAATTTTCTAAATTTTATGTTTGAAGACCATAAAAAGAGCTTCAGTCCTCAGCAGCTCTTCAAACCGTGTAAATTTAAGCTCAGATGTACAGCACGTAGCGTATTACACTCACTGAGACTTTAGTTTTCTAAAATACTTACATTATATCTATCTGCAGTTGTTTCATTTCACTGTTGCTGGTTTCAGGTTAGGAGCCTCATGCAGTCCTGTCAGAGTAAAGAAGGACTCGAGCTGCACAGACTGCTGTCAGATACAAACATCCAGGTACGTCAACACGATAAAACCTCCAAAAACACATTTCTACTGGTTCTTTAGCTTGTTTATGTACGAACTGGGTTGTGTGTTTTGCAGTCGTTGTTTCTGGCCCACGACACAGTAGCAGAGACAGAAATGCAGCCTGATTCTGAGCCTGTGGAAGGAGAAACTCTGACCCAGTTGGGAGGAGAGACCGTCAAGATCATTAGGATCGAAAAGGCCCAAGACGTTCCTCTCGTGAGTCGCACACAACGCACTGGCTGCAGTTTATTTTCTCGGTGGTTCATTGCTCCCATAAACAAGCATTTGTTTGTTTCTGTCAACCTTTCTCTGCACAACTTCATTGCTTACAAAATGTCTGTGTTTGTGGGGGATTAACTAGCTCAGGTTCTTCCGGTTTTATTGAACCAAAACTGAAAGAAACACTAAAGAAGCTGAAACAGTGTTTGTAAAACTAAAAAAAGCAACATAGTAGGTAAAGCTAACAAAAAAAGAACACTAGTTTAAAGCTTGAAGTTACATAATACTAGCTAATAATAGCAAAAAGCTAATTATGAGTAGCTAAACATTAGAAAAACCAAAAGGGATAGTCAAATGTGGCCAAAATGCTCTCTTAAAACACTAAAAGTTGAAAAACAAATGTGGAAACATAGCTAAAATAACAAAGCCTAGAAGCATTAAGTACAAAGAATGCTGGCAAAAATGCATCAAAAGGTAAGACAAAAACTAAAAGTAGCAGAATAGTAGCTTTAAGCCTAAAAGTAGCCAAAGACTAGCTAAAAATTACAAGTAGATAAACACTTGCTACAAGTGGCAAAACCTGTACTTAGAAGCTAAAAGTAGATGAAAGACAGCTGCAAAAATGCTACCTAAAAGTATTTAAAAAAATAGTTTAGATCTAAGTGTTGGAAAAAAAGAAGCTAAAAATAAGAAAAAGGTACGCTAAAAACCAAAAGAAGCAGAACGGCAGCTAAAAGCTAAAAGTAGCTCAAGAAGGCAAAACCGGAGCCAGCAGCTGAAGCAGATTTCAAAGAGAACAAAGTTTCTGAAGAAACTGACAAAAGCGCTCAATGTAAAGAATAAATAAATAAATAAAATACAATTTAAAAAGAGGAAAATAGTTGTTAATAAAGTAAAAAATAGTATCTATTTCCCGAATGAGCTGGATGGTTTATTGTAAGAATGGCTAAGATTACAAACAACTTACAAGAAAACAAGTGTGAATGCTGACTCAGCACACTTTAAACACCTTGTGGTGATCCACTGATATCCCGACAGTTATTATCTTGGTGTGTAAACAGTTATAATGACTCTTTGGATGGAGCTTATCCCTCTGTCTGTCTGCAGGGAGCAACCGTTCGTAATGAAATGGACAGTGTTGTGATCAGCCGCATCGTTCGAGGAGGAGCAGCTGAACGCAGCGGACTTTTATCAGAAGGAGACGAAATCCTGGAGATCAACAACATCGAGATCAGGGGGAAAGACGTCAACCAAGTCTTTGACATTTTAGTCAGTATTTGAATTCAATTCAGTTTATTTATATAGCACCAAGTCACAACTGAAGTTTAATTCAAAGTTTAATTTCCCTTTGGGATTAATCAAGTATTTTTGAATAGAATTGAATTGAAGTCGTCTCAGAGCACTGAACAGAAACATTCACACACATTATAAAAGCCATTTAGTAAAGTTATCTATCTAAGGAAGCAGCAGATTGCATTGAATCTTCACTTGGTCTCAGTCTCCCATCCTGTGCAAGCACAAAGGCAACAGTGGAAAGGAAAACTCCCTTTTAACATGAAGAAACCTCCAGCAGATACAGGCTCAGGACGAGCAGCCATCTGCTTCAACCGGCTGGGTTTGAGAGGACAGGAAGGAGAAACAGACACAGAATGACAGATCCAGATGTGCTTTCTATAGGAGGAAAGACAAAAACACGTTAAGCATAAAAGTAAATACAAACAAGTAGAGTAGAGCAAGTAAAGATAACAGAGTGAGGGAATGTGGTCAGTTTGTCCTCCAGCAGTCTAAGCCTATAACAGCGTAACTAAGGGATAGCTCAGGAAACCCAAGCTGACCCTTACTATAGGATTTATCAAAAAGGACTTTGAATTCAATTCTGAATTTGACAGGGAGCCAATGGAGAGAAGCTAAACCTGGAGAAATATGATCTCTCCTACTAACTCTAGTTAAGACTCTGGCAGCAGCATTTTAGATCATCTGAAGACTTTTTAAAGTATTTTTGGACGCCCAGATAATAAACCATTGCAGTAGTCCAGTCTAGACATGACAAATGCACGGACCAGTTTTTCTGCATCATTTTCGCACACTCGGGTCTAAATTCAGAAGAACAATGCTGAAGAGTTTAGTGATTCGTTTGGATCAAACATGGTGAAGATGCAGAGTAATTTCTTTGTTTTGATGGAGTTGTGTAGGTGTTAAATGAATCGGCTTCAAAACAACGTGGATTTAAAATGTAACTAACCACCCATTGTTCTGTGACGGTGCTTTTGTAACATTGTGTGTTTGTGTGTAACAGGCGGACCTGCATGGCCTCCTGACCTTTGTGGTAATTCCCAGCACTCAAAGCAAACCCCCTCCTGTCAAAGAGTCGGTGGTAAGTCCTGCTGCCAAGGGCAGAAAATGTTCATGGCTCAAATACAGTTTTTGTGTGATGTTTCTCTACTAAAGCTCATTTGCTCGTTTTTTTCCAAATGTTCTTTTTAGCTACTGTCCTGCTAATTTTAGTTTACAGCTATGGTTTTACTACTTGTAGCTTTAAGCTACGGTTTTGCAAAATTTAGTTTTTAGCTACAGTTTTGCTGCATTTAGCCTTTCGCTATAATTTTGCTGATTTTAGCTTTAGGTTAAAATTTTGCTAATTTTGTCTTTTAGCTGCAGTATGTTAGTTTATAGCTACAGTTTATGTACTTTTAGCCCTTACCTATAGTTAAAATATATTGTTTTTATTTAGTTTTGTACATTTAGCTTTTAGATATGGTTTACTATATTTAGCTTTTAGCTACGATTTACTTGTTTACAGCTATGGTTTTGTACTTGTAGCTTTTATCTACGATGTTGCTAATTTTAGCTTTTTGCTACAGTTTTGTTGCAATTAGCCTTTAGCTATAATTTTTCTGTTTTTAGCTTTAAACTACAATTTTTCTAATTTTGGCTTTTAGCTGCAGTTTGGTAGTTTACAGCTGCAATTTCTGTACTTGTAGCTTTTACCTATAGTTAAAAAATAGCTTTTAGTTAGTTTTTTACATTTATGGTAGCTTTTAGATACAATTTTACTAATTTTAGCTTTGAGCTACAGTTTTGTTAATTTTAGCTTTTGGCTATAAGTTTATTGATTTTAGCTTTTGGCTAAAAGTTTTCTTGTTTACTACAGTTTTGCTACTTCTAGCTTTTAGATGGAGTTTTTAACATTTTAGCTTTTAGCTACAGTTTTGGTAGTTATGGGTATGCTGATTTTAGCTTGAAGCTATTTTTCTTGACTTTAGCTTCTGTTTTACTTTAACTAACAAATCCGTAATTTTTTTTTCTTAATGACATCATTCAGCGCTCACTGCATATTCACTGAAAATTCATTTTGCTATTTGATTTTTGACCCTCCAGCTGCTCTTTGGTCAAAAACCCTTGAGCCCTTAGTGTTCAAACCGAGCCTTTTAAATACAAACTCACCGTTTCTGACAGCAGTGATGATTTGAAGAACTCCAGAGGTTCAGGTTTAACTCGGTCTGTCTTCTGTTTATTGTCTCCGTCCCTTCAGGTTCACGTGAAGGCCCACTTTGACTACGACCCCTCTGATGACCCGTATGTGCCGTGCAGAGAGCTGGGCTTATCTTTCCAGAAAGGAGACATTCTCCACATCATCAGTCAGTCGGATCCGAACTGGTGGCAGGCGTACAGGGACGGAGACGAAGACAACCAGCCGTTAGCCGGGCTGGTCCCAGGTACCGCTCCGTGATTTGGATCTTTGAATCAGCCTCCGTTGCTGAGCGGTGAAAGGACTTTCGCTCATTTCATGCCGCTGTTCTTAACAGGGAAGAGTTTCCAGCAGCAGAGAGAAGCCATGAAACAAACTATAGAAGAAGAAAAGGAGCCTGAAAAGTCTGGTCAGTCACAAATGAAACTGCTGATGTTCTGGTCCGGCTTACGATAAAAACATATCACATATTTACAGCCAAGATAAAATAGTACATATACATGTTGGTGTATCAAGAAATTATTAAACAAACAAACAAAAAATTAGATTCTTAACAAGTTGTGAAATTCTTTAAATAATGACAGCCCAATATTTCAAACTATAAGACACGATAAAAAAAAAAAAAAATTGTTCTGATAAATTTAAAATCCAAGTGAGGGATCCTACATTTTTATGATCTGCAGCATCACAATAAGACTTTTTGCATAACGTTCTGTTTTTTGTCCAAAGGGAAACTTTGGTGCGCAAAGAAGAACAAGAGGAAGAGGAAGAAGCTGCTGTACAACTCTAACAGGGGTGACGGTACGTCTGACATTTCCATCAGTTTATTTTATATTTGAAGTTGGAGTTACTTCATCAAACAGGTATGTAAAGAAAAAACATCTTGTAAAAAAATTGCCTTTTTAATTTGCTGATTTATTAACACAACAAAGACAACTAGAGAATTTGCATTTCCTGTGAAAGTGCAAGTGTGAATGCCTTCAAGAAAATAGTTGAAAAGTAGCTTAAAATAGCAGAAAGAAGCTTCAAATATCAGAAGGAAGCAGAACAATCGTTCCTAATGTAATGGACTGCCAGGCTGCTGCCGATATAAACCGTTGATCTGACAGTACTATGTGTTTGGGTTTACTCTCAGCTACCACTATACCAAATGTCAGCTGAATAGCTCTAAAAAGGCCTTTTTCCTTTTTAGCTAAGGCAGCCATCTTGGATTTTTGATTTGGATGCAGTATGTGATTGGGAACGTTATCAGCTATCACCTCAACAAATGTCAGCTCTGTATGTGTAAAAATAGCTGAGTTAAATCTATTCAAAGTAGTGTTTGTGGCCATCTTGGATTTTTTATTTTCATCTAGCATTTGATGGGAAACATTGTCAACTATTATCACACCACCTTTCAGCGCAATACGACTAAAATTGGCTGATTTATAGTATTTTTCCTTTTTTGCTAAGACGGCCATGTTGGATTTTTGATTTTCAGTCACTCTATTAGGGATCATTGTCAGCTACCAATACGCCACATTTCAGTTGAGTAGCTCTAAAAATGTCAGAGTTATCCTAGTTTTTCTATAAAACAGCTGAATAGTAGCTAAAGAAATGTAGAAAGAAGCTTAAATTTCCAAAAGGAAGTGGAGGGAGCTTATTTGTGCCCACTAAGGCTTAAGTAGGCATAATTTAGCACAATAAAGTTGAAAATATCTGAGAAAAGAGTAAATTTGCTAAAAACAGCTGAATAGTAGCTATAACAAGCAGAAAGAAAAATCACTAGAAGGAAGTCGGTGGAGCATGTTTTTCCTGGATTAGGCTGAAAAAAGTTTAAAATGATTGCAAAAATTGTGGAATTAGCTGATAAAGATGAAATTAGCATAAAAGCAGCTAAATACTAGCTGAAATAGCAGAAATAGCTGAAAGGAGCAGAAAAAGCTGAAATTAGTAGAAATAAGTTTGAAGAAGCACAAAAATGTTGAAGTTAGGTGAATTAAGATGAAAGGAGCACAAAAAGCTGAAGTTAGCTGAGTTTTTCCAGAAATTTGCACAAGGAAGCTAAAAGAAGCTTAACTGGATCTAAATGTAAAAGGTTGTAAACAGATCAAAAGTTACAAAAGATGTAAAATTAGCTCGATTAATTTTCAATGGGGAAGAAAATGGCGGAAAAGGCTAAATATCGCACAAAAACGAAAAATCGAAGAAAAAAAAAGACGAGGTAGATACCGAAAAAGTACAGAAGAAAAAGTGTCTCTCAGTACAGGCATTCACACAACAAGAAAGGGTTTATTGCTTTAACAACAAAACAGTTTTCTTGACTAATATCCTCACACTTGAAAGCAATTTTAAATAAAAAATAGTTTCATAATTTTGTTTTTATATCCTCAGTTCATCCCTGATTTTATGTTGAGTTTGGAATGTTTTTCTCCTGTCAAACATGACAAACTGAACCATTAAACTTTAATTTACTTAAATCAAATTGTGTGTCTGTGCAGATAAAAACTAACATGTCTTTTGATTTGGTCCAGATCTCGATGAAGAAATTCTCACCTACGAGGAGATGGCTTTGTATCACCAACCAGCCAATAGGAAGCGTCCGATCGCTCTGATTGGTCCATCTGGCTGCGGGCAGGCAGAGCTTAGACAGAGACTCCTCAACAACCAACCAGAGCGCTTCGCAGGCGCTGTACCTCGTAAGAAGTTCTCATCTTAACGCACGAAAGACTCCACTATTGAGGACAGGAACTGTATACATAAAAAGCAGAAAACCTTAAATAAATACTTGTTTTTTTGCTCTGTAGACACCACGCGGAGTCGTCGAGAAGGTGAAGTTAGTGGTCGAGATTATCATTTTGTTTCCCGTCAGACTTTCGAGGCGGAGCTGGCATCTGGTAAGACTTGGTTTCTCCGAGACGTCCACATCGATCCCTCGAAGTCACACGTTTTGAATTTTTGTTGCTGAAGACACTTCCAGAACTTCCTTTAGTGTTTAAAAGAACAAGAACTTTATAACGTGGGGAAAACTTTACAGAAACGGGTTGTTTTGGAACATGTTGCAGCCTCTGAACGCCCACGGGTCTCAGAGGGTTAACAAACACTGAGGTGGTAAAATGTCTGCGTCCCTAACGAGCTGCTGTCGGCTCTGCCTTGTATCTCCAGTGATGCATTCGCTCACTGCAAGGGAAATCGGATGAATGGCTGTGAAGAACAAACAAAGAACAGACAGCCTTGTGCAGACACAGACTTGTCTATGTTTTGGTTGAATCACTGAAATCTCTCATTTATAGAAATATTCAGCCTGGATTTGGACCGTTCATCTCAGGCTTCCTGTTGATTTAGTTTTCCTTCAGGCTGGAAAACCAGCTTCTGTGGTTTGGAAAGTTAATGTCTCGGCCACTCAGCATTCTAAAAGATGCTTCGCTGTAGTTTTGTTTGACCAAGATTCATAAATTATCTTGCTTGTTTTTTGATCCCCACCTCCTAGATATAATTATAGACTTGTTAAAGAAACAGTTTATATATATATATATGTATATATATATATATATATATATATATATATATGTGTGGCACTTATTTTGTACTTGCAAAATACTTAATTACGGTTGTGCAGAAACTTTGAAAGTATGTAAGGAACCAAAGTATGTCCACTGGTATGGAAACAAGTTACGTACCAGTTAAAACATCTTGCACATACCCAGTAAGTTCCAAGTACACACCAGTTAAGTGCCCAGTAATTACCAGTTTTGTACCAGGCTGTAATATGTGTTGCTGTTGTCATTCTGTTTTTATAAATGACATCCAGTTGTGCAAAGTTTTGCTAGCAGCATCCTTTGTTCCGTCTTCCTCTCAGGGAAGCTGATCGAGTCTGGAGAGTTTGAGAAGAACCTTTATGGAACCAGTACAGACTCTGTTAGGCAGATCATCAACACTGGGAAAATCTGCGTGCTCTGTCTGCACACGCAGGTAGGTGGCGCTCACAACCAGCTTCAAAAGTCACTGAACGGTTTCAAACGAATTGTTTCCTTTGTTCAGGCTCTGAAGGTGCTGAGGAGCTCCGACCTTAAGCCTTACATCATCTTCATCGCGCCTCCTTCCCAAGAACGACTTCGAGCTCTGCTGGCGAAAGACAACAAGAACCCGAAGGTTTCCATCTGTCTATTTTTACACTCAAACTTATGATCCCCTGCCGGGTTTTTGACGTGCTTGTCTTCTGCAGCCCGAGGAGCTACGGGACATCATCGAGAAGGCCCGGGAGATGGAGCAGAGCTGCGGCCACCTGTTCGACGCCATCATCGTCAACACGGACCTGGACAAAGCTCACAGCGAGCTGCTACGACTCATCAACAAACTGGACACTGAGCCACAGTGGGTGCCCTGCTCCTGGCTGCGCTGAAACACAAATACACAATTCACCGGGGAAACGCAAAACACGCGGAGCGCATATTTCTGCAGACCTGACGAACTGGATGGTAAACACGCTGATGAGGCTCGTGTCTCATATTAGGGCTGATGATCTGACGGAGATCTGTAGAGTTTATATTATGAAGGTGTGTCATCATGATGTGACACTAAACTAAGAAATATTGCACTAGAAGTCCTAAAATCCCAACGTCACGTTGTCATTTTACAAGAAAGCCCAGGAAACAAACCTTTCAGATGTATTATAGTATCTTGAGGGGAGAAAATGTTATTTGTAGCTTTACAAATTAATCATAAATCACATGATATAAAATTTAAATTTTACACAAATCAAAATATTACAAAAAAAATATATGAAATATTAGATTTCTCAGGTAAAAATAATGAACAAGCCTGTCTAAAGGTTCAAATTAACGTTTTCTTTAATATTTGGGGAGATTGAAGAAACAAAGCTATCAAAACAAAACCTGTGTAGAGGTTTTTGTCCTTCTCACTACAATTTTCTGACTAACTGTTTTTGTTTTCTGATTCTGCCGCTGCCTTAAAACGTTTCTGCCACTTTGAGTCACGTTCCATTTGATTTAAGCGTCTTAAATCTGTCGTCATTCAAACGATTATTAAAGTTGACAAACTGCTTGAACCCAATTAACAATATATAACAAACTGTATTCATTAATCTGTTTGGACTCAAAACTCCACTAAAAGAAGAGTTCACTACATAATTATTTAAAAGCGACTTCCAAAATACGTTTCCTAAGAATTGCATTGAACTTTTGTTTCCAGCTTAAAAAGAACTTCAGATTAAAACTTGTGCTTTTGACTTAGAGTAGTCATTTTATTTAAAAATATCTTTGTTTTAGGATTGTACAGTCGTAACTTCTTTTTTTTTTTTTTTGTCAAAGTGAAAGCATCTCGCAAACGTGAACTTTTGTTCACAAAATTACATTTCACCTCCTTCATCCTCAAAGTTGAACTATTACATTTGTTTTTAATTCTAAAAGATCATAATCACTAAATTTATTAAAAACAAATGCTTTTAATTACAAAATAAAAAAGCTTTTTTGTAGATTTTTTTTTCCAGACTGATCAGATATTTGTAGCAACAACTGTTATGGAAACAAGAAAATCGAATCAGTGTTTTTGTTAGCTGTCGTCATCTCAAACCCCTTTTCGACCAACCCAGACCAGGTTCTCTCTAACCGTCTGCTCCAACAGCGGTGGCCGTATTCTGTTTCTGTCGAGGAGTTGTTCCTGAGGCTTCTGGTTTGAACAGCGAAGTCAAACCAATGTTTAAAAACGTTAGGTTTAGTTTATCACCTGGGGATTTATATCAAGACATTTGTGAATGCCACTTGATCCACTTGGAACAGCAGGGTAACACAATATTTACATACAATACAGAACGTTCGGTGTCATCGGAAATGAAATTTCTGTTGTGTTTTAAATCTTTTATTAAGAAGAAGCCATGAATTTGTGATGTTGAGCAGGAAAATGATTGAAATGCCTTATTTAAAATACCAATAGAGGTGGAGATCAAAGGGAGAAATCGTGATATCTGATGAGTGATAATATCACAATACAGGAATTCTGTGATAACTAGTGGTAACTTTTTTTATTTTGCAACCATATATCAACTATTTAGCTTCCCTAAAAGGAACCAGAAGGTAGTGACACTGTGTGTGGGAAAAATTGTTTAAAGTGCCTTATTTAATTACAATATCAAAAGAAGTAGTGGAAGTCAAAGGGTTACCCACAATGTTTGATACATCATTACGATAAAGAAATTCTGTGATAATTATGGTCAATTTCTTTCCCATTGCCTTGTTTTATATCATGTTTTTAGATCTCCCACAAGAAGTCATAAAGTAGTAATGCTACTACCTGGGAAAATAATTTTAAATGCCTTAATTTATTCGTTTGAGTATCGATAAATGATTGAAATTCTTGATAGTTGATATGTGATATCCCGATACAGTAATTCTGTGGGAATTCCAGTGGTAGCTTTTTTCACTTCTATGTTCAATGTTTTCTATTCTGTCTAGCTTCTCTACAAAGAGCTGACAAGTAGTGGTAATTTGAGCCAAATAATCTATTATGAGATATCAATATATATCAATATAGGTGATGAAAATCAGGGGTCAATCCCTAATATTTGATACACGATATCACGATACAGGAATTCTGCGATATTTGTGGTAGTCAGGTCTTTTCCCTGCCAGGTTTTATCCTGTCTTTAGATGATTCAAGTAGATTTTAAAGCCTATTAACATAGTTTGAATAATGATAAAAGTGGTGGAAATCAGAGGATAATCCACTATATTTGATACTCAATTATATCACAATACAGAAATTCTTTGATATTTGAAGCAATACTTTTCCCCTTTTCTGTGTTTAGTTCCCCTATATGGACCCAGGAAGTAGTGATGCTATGAACATGAAAAACAATTCAAAATGCTTTATTTTATCAAAGTATCAATATAAGTGTTAACAATCTGAGGTCAATCTCTGATATTTTATACACATTAATATCACTGTAAAGGAATTTTGTGATAACTGAAGTAACGATTTTTCCTCCCCTGTTTAATGTCTTGTATTTCATCTAGTAGTAGTGATGTTATGAGCAGAACAAAACATTAATATATTAGGATATTGATAGATGTGATCGAAATCAGAAGGCAACCAACAATATTTGGCATGTAATTTTATCATGATACTGGAATTCTGCTATTTTTGTGGTGGTAATCTTTTTTTACTGCCACATTTGTTGTTTCATATTATGTTTTTAGCTCCACCACATAGAGCCAGAAAGTTTTGATTCTATGGGCAGAAAAATAGAATTTTAAATGCCTGATTTTATTTGCCAGATTATGAAGAATAAACTGTTGATTTTTTTGTCACATTGAAGGAAGATAACATTTTGCGGTCAATTTTGCCCCCTTCATAATCACAAATACTGACCGTTTGTATTGAAACAATAAATAATTAGTAAAAGAGAGGAACACAGCTGATGTAAACTCACTACGTTCTTGTTACAGTTCATTTTTGATTCTCTCGAGTTTGAGCCATTATTTTTCGGAGAGCCTTTAGTGAAAACTGCTTCGGTAAATCAGTTCTGATATCTGAAACGGACATAAAACGGTAACAGTTTAAACTATAACCTGACGTAATCTCTCAACTTTAGTTTTCTTTTCTGGTAAATATTGAGGCCAATTCTACCGCCGCCTTTAGCGCCACCTGCTGGCCTGAGCACCAACTTCACTCAAAACCTTCTTGTAAACCCAGATTTTGATTCTTCTCAATGCCTTGTTCTGCAGAGAGCTGGTGCTGGTTCAGAGAGTCTAAAAATTTGTTTCGTCATCGATGGGCCAAGCACTGGTTTGGGGACTATCTCTGAAACCAAAACTGGAGGTCGGAAAGGGGTGACGGTCACAAAACGTACCGAGAGGGATGTATATAATTTTTTAATTACTTTCTTTTGGTTTAAATTTGTTGACTAAATTTAAATTGTGATGCAGAGAGAACTGGTGTTGACATCTGATTCAAAATCAGGAAAATGGGATGAGGAGTGGATGTAAAAATGCAAACACACAAACCCTTCGTTGAGCCTCTGCTTCATTCTGGTCAGACCGGTGACCGACCGGCTGTTAGGAAAACACTAAAACTAAACACACAGCACTTCATGTCCTTTTGAACACACATGTAGACCTCAGAGCCCTGCAGGCTGAAGAAAAGAACATAACTTTTTTGTTGTGTGTGTATGCATGTATGTATGTATGTGTGTATGCGTGTGTGTGTGTGCAGGTGTGTAAATGTGTGTGTGTGTTTACCTGTCGTTGAAGACAGAAGTATTATTCTGACCTGAAGTAGACCTGACACCATATCGCTGTCACCACTGTGTAGAGCCTTTATATATTTGTAATATTGATTATAGATTTATAAAGTTTGGAAAGCACCAATAGAACTGCAGCTTTCACGCCTTACCTCCCTGCTATTGGTCCAGGAGGATGGGGGAGGCGGGGCTAAGCGGAATTCACTGTATTGAATGTAAAATCCTTTTTCTGATGCCACTTCTGTTTGTTTTGATATTCACGATGAAGAAATAAATAGATGATTGATAGAAAACAATGACTGGCTGCTTCTTTCTGTTCGCAGCAGCTTAGGCGTCGCATCATCCCCAGGTAAGATGATGACACCTGAGCTGGTTTGACTTTTTACGAGTCTGACGTACAGCTGGAAGCCCAGCAGGGGCTACGTTTCTTTTATAAAAACAAAGTTAAAGCATTTCTAACATCTTTAGGTTCTGTTCCCTGAAAGTGTCCTGCCTGTTGTTTTTTCAAAATATTTATTTTAAAATTATTATTTTCAAATATTAAAAATAAGATATCTATCTGCTGTTTAACTGCTGCTTTTTTTGTTGTTGTTACTTTTAGCTAGCATTTTGCTGCTTTTTACCTGCATTCTGCTCGTTTGCTACTTTAAACTTTCAGCTACTATTTGCCTGATTTTACTTTTGAGCAGTCACTTTGATACGAATAGCTTTTAGCTACCATTTTGCTATATTGGCCTTTTGGTACTTCAGCTACAATTTTATTATTTTAAGATAAGCTTGGTTACTTTTAGGTTTTGTGGGCTTTTGAAATTCTAGTTAACATTTTCCTACTTTTGGCTTATGTTCAGCTGCTTTCTTGGCCCTGTCAATTCAGTTTTAGCTCCTTATTGCTCTGTGTTCTCATGACTGTTTTGCAGGAAATGCCTGTTTTTGTAGAAACACATTACAGATTCAGACAATGTAAATGAAACTACAACGCTTGTTGACAGAATAAGATGAAAATTAGGTCTGGTTAATTTTCAGTACTTTTTTTTTTTTTTTTTTTTTTTTTTGCTGTGTACAGTGTGTAATCATCAAAGATTAAAATGTTTATGTGGGTGGAAAAAGACGAGAAGCGGCTAATGTGATACATTGAAATTTATTTCAAAGAATGGTTGGTTCAATTTAGATAGAGTGAATGAAAACAGTTGTGATATAAGATACAAATGCATTGTTAAAATTGTTTAAAATAGTTTTTCTGGTTAAAATAACTCAGGGTTTTCCTGTTTAGAGTTCTAAAGACAAGCCTTCTAACACTTTTAACAGTTTATATTTTAGTCCAAAACTGTTTTCATTCACCCTTTATCTAAACAGAGCCAACTATTCTTTGAAATAAGTTTCAATGTATCACACTAAAATGAACAATTGACCCGATAAATTCAGATTTGTTTTTTTGTAGTTTACAGATTTAAATATGTAATAACGTAGTCCTACCACAAGGTGGTGGTCTTTAACAAGAGATCACATTTTATTCATTCTATTCTTATTTCTTTCTATTCCAAACTCGACGCTGCGTCCAAGCAGTTTCATAAGTTATTTATTTATTTTACAGTTTTTGACAATTGTAAGCGCGATCATCAGTAGCTGCTAATTTGAGTTTAACCTTTGACCCGAGCTGATCTTTGGTTTCCTTTTCAAACCCTTTGAAGAAAACGGAGATTGTAAGAACAAGATAATTCCCTGCGGACAGAGGCTTTGTTGGCCGAAAAGGGTTAAAGTTGCGTATAAAACCAAAAACACTGCAAAAGCAATAGCTGTGAAGCTATTGGGATGAAGGGATGATAGGGCTGAAGAATATTACAATTAAACTTTTGATGAACTTTTGATGATTTTGCCTCTTCAGAGTAAAAAAGTTTAACTTTTTGAAAAGTAGTTTGAGATCTTTGTGTAGGCCGAGCTGGAGCTGGTCCTGCGCCTGAGACTAGAAGTTATCTTGCAGCTGCTAGTTCACTTTCTTACCTACAGATTTGGTTTGTTTAGTTTGAGGACGGAACCAGAATTCCGAATTCTAAGTAGAAAAAGAATCAGAGAAAAGTTAGATCTCATTATCTTGCTATGAATAAACTCTTCGATAGCTTTGCTCTGCTTGGGAGATGTTGACGTCACCCATTGAGTGAACGCCCAGACAAATCTGTCTTGTGATTGGATGGTTCATGAAAAAAAAGGCGGTCCCGCTCTTGCTGATTGGTCGAAACACCTGTCAGTCTACCGCTTCACTGCGCCTCTGGTCTCGCAGGTTGATGGAAAGAGTTGGTGCAGATGCAGCAGGGGACGCGATCTAACTTATTTCACCGTCTAATCGTGGACATTTGAACGTTTTCGTGAACTTTTTAAACGTTTAGTAACTTCGCGGCAGTTTTCGCGCTTTACGGTTCGGGTTGCGTCTCCTTGGTAACAGAGAGTCAACTGTCTCTGCGAAGTTCGGATCAAGTGTTTGTCCGCGAGCCGTAAAATTAAAAAAAAATAACGCTTCATTTTGACCCTTAAGCTAACGGAACCGCCTTCAGGGTGCCAGAGGACGAGTGTGGACAACTTCCCAACTGTTTTCACGTATTTTTTCAAAACGTTTTCCTCCACGTTCCGCTCCAACTTTCTGCGGAAACTCGGAGCAGCGCGAGACAATAGTGAGAGAGCTGGGGGAGCTCGTGGAGGAGGAGGAGGACCGATGCCTCGCGGGGGCTTTGTTCTCCCGCGGATATCCACGGATCAATCGGTGAATTGATCGCGGGGAACATCATGGACGTGACCCTGTCGGAGCTGCTGGCCTCCTTCATGGAGTCTCCGCTGGTGGTGTGGGTGAGTGAGGAGGCGGAGGAGGAGGTGGTGCTCACCTCCTCAGGTGCATCTGACTAAATCAGTCAAAACACAACTTTTGTAACGTTTACTTTAGGTGTGTCTGTTAGCAAAATATGTAATGAACCCTTTGAGTGAAACATGAAATATTAACTGGATGTACATGTACAGCTGACAAACTGATTCAAGATGGCCGCCACAGCCAACTGACTAAACACAAAAATGGACAAAACTCCAATCAGCTTTAAATATATTGAGCTGGAATTTGGTGTGGTAGTAGCTGAGAGTCGTTCACAACACATACTCTGAAGTCAACACTATTTGTTAACAAAAATAAATAAAAAATAAAAAGTTGACCCTTATTGTTTGATTGTGAAGTTTTACACTAAGGTCCTACTTTATATGTTTGTGCTCAGAGTTTGTGTTGGGTATCAGTGTCATCCACTACCACACCAAGTTTGAACTCTGTGTATCAATATGAGTGAAGTTTGATTAGCTGTAGCAGGTTCATCTGAGATGTGCCTACCTGAAAGTCTGGGGTTCATGAGATATTTTGCTGACAGATAAAAATGAAGAGTTTTAACGTTGTGTATTAAATATAGTTGGCCGGAGCAGGGAAATGTGATTTTGAAACATAGTTTGTTGCACATCAAGGTTTTTTTTTTTTTTCTTTCAAACTGAAACAAACTTTGTTTTTATTTACATGATGCACTCCTCTTCATCACCTTCATTTCCTGTTTTTTTTTTTTTGGTTCATCTCTGTTTTCCAGAAACAAGCACGCAGTTATAAAGCAACTATAATATTGTTTTTTTTTTACAAATGATGTTTTTGTTGTTGTTAGCTCAGCTTCAATGAATGTGGCTCACGCCACCAGCGACTCACATTGAGGACACTTTCAAAATTCGAGTCATTTGTTTTTTTATTCTTCATCTGAAAAGGTTAGAAATGATGTGTAGTTTGTTGAAAGTTGGCGATTTATCACCTGGAAGTTTAGTTTAAGAGCGTGCCTGTATGAAAACTGATTTTTTTGTTGGTCTGGAGTGATGTCATCGAGAATTATATTTAAAAAGGAATCCTAAAGCGACACAATGATGCCAAACATTATACGTAGGGATTTCCTGGCAGGGGAAATGGTCATTTTCAAATGTATTGGAATTGCTCGATGATGTCTTCAGGTGATGGTGTTTCTGCTGTTTGTTGGTCTGTTTCTGATGAACAACTAGACGGACTTTAATAAAACGTGTAATTATTGAATGTACTTCTAGTACTGAGGAACTGTTGGGAGTCGTGAATGTGTAATTTTACTGATATTCTGATGCAGTTTAGTGTGGTAGTAGCTGACGGTCTTCCCCAACAGATACTCTGAGGACTAACCCATCTCGTGCAAAACGCCATTTATGAGATTTGATCAAAACGGCCACAGCTCCATTCTTCAGCGGATGATATGCATTCCTGCAAAGAGTACTTTTTACTTCTGTTTTTGTATTTTTCTGTACATTTTGACAGTTTTGGTGAATATTTTAGTTCCGTTTTGTGGTTTGCGTGAGTCTGTGAGGATTTACTGCCGACTGAATCGTGAACAGATCAATGTCCGCCAAGAAGTTATTAACCTCGTGGAACTTCCTGTCTCTCAGTGACCTCACTTCCTGTTGACCCGACCGGGTCAAGCAGCCTTTGGTAAACACGGACAAAGCACAGAAGAAGCACAACTTTCTCCTGACTGTTTCTCGTGCGTTTTGTGAAATGACATCAGTTTTATTCCCAGATATAAACGTAAAGGACGTGTGTTTGTGTGAGGGAAATGAAGCAGGGCGTTCCTCCTGAGCGCTCAGGAAAACCTCTGAGGAAAGTAAAGGTTCACAGTATTTAACGCGCTGCTGTGACATTTTCAATCTGTTATTTCACCCTCTGTAATTTGGTCTGAGTCGCAGAGAGTCAGCAGCTTTCTGCTTCAGTTACACTTTTAGACCTTTTTGAGGTTTTGTGCTCTCGAGTTATTCAAGCAGTCTTGAGTCCAGAGTCATTGACTTTAAATAAGAGCTAAGAGCTGCACCTCGTCTGTGTTTATGTCTGATTTGGGTAAAAATACTACACTTGCTTTTTAGAAATGAAAAAAATTATCTATAAGGAAATTACAAAACAAATTTTTTTCCATTGATTTCTACTGAAGCAACAGGCCGTGTTTGGATTCATCTTTACATTATAAACGGTGCAAAGTTAAAATCTTTATGAATTCTATTTACTTTAAAATTCAAGATGGCTGTCACAGCTTAGCAACCTTCCCCAACACAGAAGTGGCTCTAACTCAGTTAATTATAGATATTGAGTTACATTTGTGGTAGTTGCTGAGAGTCGGTCAGATCACACACAGCAGTGTTTTTAAGAACTGATGAAAACTGCTAACATGAACTATTCAACTTGATCTTTAGTTGAACACTTGCACGTGAAAGGTGGCAAGTCTTTATTTTATTTAGGTCTCGTCTTTCAGGCTTTGAAACGTTTTTGAATATTAGCAGAATTAATGACATTTCACGAATCACTTTGTTGGTGAAACATCCTGTTTATGTCTGTTAAAGTGATTAATCTTTGGTACTTCTGAGTCGCCTCACGCCTTTAGGTGCTTTCTTTATGTTTGGAACGGTTCTGATAGTTTGTCTTTTTATTGAGGCTGTTGATGAGATCAGGTTTGAAGTTATCTGTAGGATCGTTTCAACCAACGTGTCTTACATTTAGTCCAATCGGCAGCAAGAGCATTTCCTAACTGCTCCGCTCGTTGACGAGCAGCAGAAAGACTTGATGGAAACGAGCGAGCTGCCTTAACTTATAATGTCTCTTTTGGTTTATTTTTTTATATTTACTACTTGAACAATTAGGATCTTTAGAAAGTCTGGAGGACTTTCCCTCAAGATGATATATGGATCAAGATTTTTGCACATCTCTGTGAGGTTTTTGCACGTCATAAAGTTTTGTTATTAGCTCGTCTCAGATTAGAACTTCCTGTAAACCACCTTTAGTTCAAACTGACTGAGAAGAAGCCACCGAGAAACATTTTTATTTCAGCGTTTCCTGTTTCTGTCTCCAGGTGAAGACGCTGGGCCCGCTGGGTTCACCTGACGACGTGGGCTCAGAGGAGCGGGTGAGCATGTACATGGAGCTGGTGGACGGCGTCTTCCTGCACAAGATCATGACACACATGTAAGTCTCAGAGTCTCGTTTGATCTGTGCGAGTCAGTGAAAACGCTACTGGTGTGTGTTTATGAGTTCATCCTGTGTGTGTGTGTGTGTGTGTGTGTCTGCTGGAGTGTGACTGTGTGACCACATCCTGACTTGCGACTTTCAGGTCGGAGATGTCAGAGCCAGATGTGCTGCATGAGGCTGCAGAAAGAAAAGCTGTAAAACAATCCTCGTTTTTCCTCAAAACTTAGACTAATTGTAAAAAACCACGGTAATTCATGTTGAGCTTCATGAGACGGAGCAACAGAAAGATGGAAAATTATTAGTTCTGGTAATAAGATCAGAAATATGATTGGAATAAAAAAACACAAGGAGCCAAAACCTCTTTTGGCAAACAGTCATCCAGCACCTCGTAAATGTATCATTTTGTGACGCAGGTTACCGTGAAGGTTTTAGAATCTGGAGCTCTCAGTTGTTTTTGGGAGTCACACCATGTGAGCCGAGTGTTTAAGTAGGTTCTGCTTCTGTTGTAGAAATCACTACTGAAACTCTGAAACAGAAATCCTCATCTGTAAATCCACATAAAGCCTTCATCTTCCCTTTCTGCAGGCCCAATTTAATAAAAACAGACCGAGACAGTGGAAAAACGGTTCTGTGGTCAAAGAAATCTAAATTTGAAGTTCTTTATGAAAACGTAATTAAAAAAAAATAATAATAATAATATCCGCCTCGATGTCAACGGATCGTCAAAGCGGCTGCTTGAAATTTCTATCCGACGCAAACACAACACTGCACCATGCTACCATTTTAAATTATATTCTATATATTTTTAAACGGGTAAAATAAAAGCGTCTGAGACGATTGCGAGGTAAAAGCGGCGGGTTTCATTCTTGTGAAGGAGGCGCTCCTGATCGACGTCTCTCTGGCCAATCAGTGGCCTGCAGTCTGCTGACATGAAATCTTCAGCTGGTTTTGTTTGTTCCAAACAAGCCCAAGAACCGAGCTGAAAGACGGTGGGACCACCAAAAGGAAAGAGTCTGAACCCGTGCCGAGTCAAGCCCATGGAAAAGAGCCCCAAGTCTCCTAAACTCGGCTGCTAAGACCATATCAGGGCTGTATACACGGGGACGGCCCTGTAGGACCAAATCCTGTTGGATTTTCAACAAATATTGATGAAGACTCATTGATCTGTATAGAGTTGATTATAACACGCACCTGACAGCAATCACAAAGTCTGACTTTTTGAGAACATTGTCATTAATGCCGTCACTGTGTGGTTTGAAAACACCACCAAGGCAAATGAAGACGCCTCAGAGTCCTCAAACTTGTTCTCACTGGGCCGAGGCTAGTTCAGACTCAATATTACAAAAAAAATCCAAACCTGCAGTTACAATCTCACTGAATTCTGTCCGCAACCAGCAAGCCGTGCTTCCGCATTTTGAGCAGGCAGTCTTTTACAATCTGTTATTTTTTGTGTGCACGGCTTGCAAAACTGTATTCTCTTATTTAATCTACTGGAGGACATGAAGATGGGTGGATTTAGACCAGTTTTTAGATCATATTTTTAGACCTGGACCTGTCATTGATCTATTGTGAGAGAAGATTTGTCACACACTTTTTTTTTTTAACATGTTTAAATTTTAATCGACAAGACTGCAAGTCTGCAACACAAGCGAGGAAACTGAAAACTCCAAATGTCACAAGCTTTAGAGACTTCCTTGCAAATGCTGCTCATGAGCACGTCTGCAGCTGTCGCAGCCCAGTGAGATACCACCTTAAAGTCTGCAGGGATCGACTGAGAGAAACAAAAACTGCATCTTCAAGACACACGGCAGCAACTCTGGAATAAAACCATCTCAACCTGAAACTGACTGGACCACGTCATTACACACAAAACACAACTTCTCCACCAACTGGAGCCATAAATAAGTAAAATACAACAAAAACTAGAGAATATGCGTTTCCTGCAAAAATGCAGTGTGAATACTTATTGATGAAGAACCCGCTGAAAAACAGAAATGTAGAAAGAAGCTTAAATTTCCAAAAGGAAGTGGAGTGATCACTTGTGCCCACTAAGGCTGAAAGAGGCAGAAATTAGCACAGTAAAATTGACGTTATCTGAGAAAAGCTGAAATTTGCTGAATTAGGTTGAAAAAAAGTTGAAATGATTGCAAAAAGTGTGGAATTAGCTGAAAAAGCTGAAATTAGCATAAAAACAGCAAAGTACTAGCAGAAATGGCGGAATTTAACAGAAATAAGCTGAAAGGATCAGAACAAGATGGAACTAGCCGAAATAAGTTACAAGATGCACAAAAATGTTGTAGCTGAATAAAGATGAAAGGAGCACAAAACTGTTGAAAAAACTGCTGAAAGTAGCTGAATTATAAAAAAAAAAATGCAGAAAGAAGCGTGACCAGATCTAAATGTGAAAGTAGTAGGAAAATATAAACAGATCAAAAGTTAAGAAGGATGTAAAATGAGCTCAGTTCATTTTCAATGGGGAAGAGAATGGTGGAAAAGGCTAAATATCTCAAAACCCTAAAGTTGCACCAACACCAAAAGCAGCATTGTCCTGAAAGAGCTGAACATTTTCATATAAGAATTGTTGAAATACAATTTGAATTGTGGAAGGAGTTGGATGTCGAAAAACATACAGAAGAAAAATGGATCTCAATAGTGTGAATGCTTCACAATAAAATACTCTGAGGTTTCTCATCTGTTGTACAGAGACGGACAGCTCCTAAGTAAATGCTTCACTATAATCAATAAATATTTTGAGAGATTTAAAATATCCTTTTCTCACAAAACACAGTCGATCTTTAATAGTGAAACTAAATGTGGAACCTGAATGTCCTTCCATCCAGACGGACATGTGACCCCGATGAGTTGTTGTCTGCGGAAACAATGATAATCAGACTATTGTTAAATGTAGTCCAGGCTGACTCTGGGGCTGATTAGGACCTGATCAGGGGTTTGAGCAGGGTGAAAGTGGGTCACAGAGGAGGGGTCGTTCAGGACGGAAGAGGAATATTAAAGGAAATCCTCTCAGAGGCTGTTTGTGAATCAGTCAGTCAAAGAACCAGTCAACTGTTAAATCAGTCCTCCGTTTTAAACTCCTTGTAAAAATGGAGCTGAAGCAGAAACAGGAGAACAGCTTCACTGTTAATTGACCTGGAGACGGGAACAGTTCAGAACATTTTACTGCTGAATAAAGTGATAATGAGGTGATGAACGAAGTTACAATTGGGGTAAAACAACTTAACAGAAAGAAAAACTCGCAGCGAGGTGGATTTTAGTGAAAGTAACGCATTAATTACAAAAACACGTGCAGGGCTAAACTCAAACTCTTCAAAGAGTCGGGCACATATTTAATAAAAAGAGGAAGCTGTGGCTGAGACAAAGCAGCAGGTGAGGGGAAAATATACCGTTTCTAAGAAGTATGGATGTGAAAGTTTTAAAATTACACCTGTTAAATATTTCATCTATAGATGACCTGTTGGTTAAAGGAAAAGAAGTGAAAGTACAGCTCAAAAACGTATTTTAATTGTAGTTTGTAGGAGGCAACCCTTTCAGATGCAGCTCGTGTTCTCATCCCATCGTCACTTTGGAGAAACGTGAAGTTCTTTAAGAATCTGAAAATTAAACTACTAATTTACAGTAAAAGCTGGAGGTTTGAACACTAAAATGTGCTCCTGTTTATTTTATTTACAGTTTTCAACCTGACTTTAGCTGTTTGTATATCAAAACGTTCGGCTCATTCAGGAGATTGGCGCTACAACTTTTAGTTTCTGTAACACTTTTCTAAACGTTTAACTTTATTCACCCCAGAGATTCAGATCTCATCAAATACTTAAAAAATATGGTTCTCTTTGAAATCTGCTTCAGCTACTTTCTCTGTTTTTGCCACTTTATGCTATTTTTAGCTCCTATTAGCATTTTGATACTTTTACCTTTCAGCTACTCCACTACCATTAGCTTTTAGCTAGCCTTTTGATGCTTTTGGCTAACATTTAGCTGTTTTCTTTCTACCCTTTTCAGCTTTTAGATTTTCCTTGTGGTACTTTGAGCCAATGTTTTGATTCTTTTAGCTTTAAAATGTCAGCTTCTTCAGAAAACTTCAGCAGTTTTAGCTTCTAAAGATGCCAAAAAATAAAACAAGTGAACAGTTTTTAGGTAAAAAATAAAAATCCGTCTTTAAACAAATCTTTATTCCTTTAAGGCTTCAAGCTGTCACGGTGTGTACATTTTTCTCTTCAGGCCTCTCAGGTCTTTGCAGGGTAAAATATGCCACATTTAAATTCTCATCCCGACTCTTTCAGCCTTTCTTTCATTCAGCAGAGTAACTCTCGTTGTTTGGGTCAAAACTTAATGACTGGAGAACAAAACCCCGAGTTTAGTTTCATTAAAAGAAGTTTGATCACGTTCATTCAGAGTCAGCGTCGTGCAGTTCTCAGATGTTAAACAACTCGAGGGTTGAACTGACGTCATGATGGCTGCAGTCGATCATGCAGACGAAGACCCCCCTGCTTCCACCCCCTTCACATGTAAATGAGTCCCAGGCTGACATGTGGGGATATAAATCCCCTGCAGCACAATGGTCACCCCAGAACATTGGTGTGTGTGTGTGTGTGTGTGTGGGTGTGTGTGTGTGTGTAAACAACCGTCTTTGTCCTAAATAAACCCAAACGTCAGTCTGAGTGCTCCTGTGGCGTTTGTTTATGTCTCCATAGCGACCCGAACCCCACCAATCAGAGGCTGAGCAAGAACACGAACAACGACGTGTCGCTGCGCCTTCACAACCTCACCGTTCTGACCCGGCACATCAGGACTTACTACCAGGTACGAGTCGACTCCGTGTGCACAAACACACGCACCCTGCAGCAAAGAAGCATAAATTATTAAAGATGGAGGACCGACGCATTGATCTGTGAGCAGGAAGTGACAAACCATTCGCATCACTGTAAACTCGTGCAAACGTCAGTTTTGAGTTTACACGCTCATGTCTTAAAACACCACAATCTATTTAGAGGCACTATTTTTGGAAACTAACGTTGCTCATGTTTACAAAGTAGAGCGTGTGTCCAGGTGTTTAAGCCCATCCAAACTAAGAATTAAAACATCTAATGTCGCATTCAATATTCTGAGAGTGCAGGTGTCTGACATTACCTCTGGAAATACATGGGCAGATGTGAAAATTCTACATGTTGCTCATTTTGGAGAACTTAACTAAAACTAGATGGATTTCTACACGTTTTATTTAATAAATGTACTCAAATTTGGCTTTGACTCGTGAGTTTTACATCCAGCTGTGTTTCTTTTCAGGTCCTGCATGTCAATTTTAGGATCTGATTACGCTGCTGGAGCTGAAATGATAATCAGTCTCTCCAGGATGTTGCAGCTAATAACGCAAATTCAACAAGTCCGTACAAATTCTGATCAGTCTGTAAAATGCTCAAGACTATATGGCTGCATTCCTTTCAGTCAGCCAGGCTATGACCCGGCTGGAAGTTGTGATGATGAAAGGAGGAAATCCGTTCTTAAATGGAGGAAGTATTACAGGTCTGTCTTGAAGACGAGTCCTCGTGACTCACTGAGACTAACCTGTATAAATAAAGCTTGAACGGATGCATCGCCTTTAATCAGAGACGATGCACCAGAGTGGTCCAAGTCTATTATCTTACCAACAGAGGCCTAAAAAATATCCACAATCACCTGCTGGATCACACAAAGCTTTCTTTACATTAACACCTTGATAAATTTAGTAAACTTGTTTGTTCTTGACATTTTAAAGAAAATAAAAGCTACAGAACATCAACTTTGATTTAAAAAAAAAAAAAGCTGCCGTAAATTCTGATATTTGAGGCTGCGGCTATCGTGGAATAAGTCATCAAAATCCTGGAGGAACTGAATAATGACCAGATTAAAACTTAATCTGCCTTTTGACACACACAGTCGTACACTCGTGCAATAATGTAGACGCACTGATCAGTTTAGAGCTAAATATTATAATAGTCATAAACAGTCCTGCCGTTTTTCTCCATGTTCTTCTGCTCTTTGTCTTTTGTCCGACATGTCAGTGATCACATCTGTTCCTGACTGCGTGCGTGCGTGTGTGTTTGTGTGTGTGCGCGCTCTCTAGAAAGTGTGTCATTCTGGGCAGGGTGCAGATAATCTGTCCTCCATGGTTAATCTTTGTGTGTGTGTGTGTGTGTGAACACCTCATTTTTATAACCTTAATTTAATGAGTTATAGAGTGTGTGTTAGTTTTGGATCAGCTGTAGGGACAAAACACACACACACTCTTCTGATTGTTCAAATGGGGCGTTGTGCTCTCCTAATTAGATGGAGTCCCAGCAGACACTCAGACTGGTCTGGTCCCAGTTTCCCCAGTGACTGAGCACAACTCTGTGTGTGTGTGTATAGGGGCGTGGTGGTGGTGGTGGGGGGTGTAACCTGATACCATCAGCTCACAACAGTTTACTGTGTTCACACTTGCTGTGTTTCTGTCTATACATTAGATGAATTATTGATTAACCGAGTTTATTAATGAAACGGTTTATTGCTGACAGAAAAAGCCGCAGCTCTTTTCTTCTTTTAATTTAAAGCTGAGGAAAAAACTCCGCCGGATACAAATCTGATTCTGCACAACTTTATCTGAGCGTGTGAAACTCTGGGAAACACATTTTTATTGTTGTTCAGTAACTTAAGCAGAACTCCTCCTTTCCTCACCCCTTTTCTCCTCTCCTTTCACCCCTCCTTGGTTACCATGGGAACGCCAGAACAAAGCCCCGAGCCTTTATGGGATGTTTTGAACTCGGTATCCTCTGTCCTACTTCGTGCTCTCACAAACACGCAGGCCGGCCTGTAGGTGCACAAGTGTTTGTGTGTGTGTGCAAGTGTAAGATTTTCACGTGTAAAGCTGAACGACCGGTGGAGGAAGTAATAATTCTCAACCTCACGATGTAGTTTTTCTGTTTTCCAACTGGTCTCACACAAACTGGTTTTTGTCAGTGACAAGTCACAAAAATTTGGAGGTAAAACATTTTACAGCGGCTTTAGAAGCGAACCATCCAAACCACAACTTTTATTGATTCTGAAGAGTTTTAGCTCTTTGCTTCGCTGTGCACCCCACACCAACAGTCTTTGGCAGCAACAAGATAAATGTATTTATTTACACTTTTCATTTTATTGGGGACTGCGTAGAAATGCAGCCACCTATTATTATCCACCTGACAAGGGTTTCTTAACTTTATATCTTAACTTTTCCGTCAACTTCAATGCAGCTCGAACCACAACATGCACCCCCACAAATATTATCTCAAAACTATGTGTGCTATTACTTTTATTGTAATTTCAAGTTACTATGGCAACATAGTTTGCAAACAAAGATGTCATTTTTCTCATTGAAATGGAACTCTAAACTGGCCGCCACTCATGTCCTCGTCAAAGTTTCTCCAGGAACTTTCTAGTTGACAATGTTCTTTGCATTACCAGTCCTGCACCAAGTACACGAGCATACTGATGAATATGGTTGAATATTTGGTAATTAAACAATAATAATATTCCCTTCAGGATATTGTAGATGCTGATTGGTTGGTTGATTGATTTTTTTTTTTTATATAACCAATATGTGCAGGGATGTCCAATTCTGGTCCTCAGGGGCTACTATCCTGCATGTTTTAGATGTTCCTCTGCTCCAACACACCTGATCTGACTCAGTGGGTGATTACCAGCAGGGTAGTGGCCCCCCAGGTCCAGGACTGGACACCCCTGCGTCAGTATTTTAACTTTTTTCCCACTTCTTTTAATTTTTGGTCATCTTTTGCTCAAATGGGCATGTGATCTAGTTCTTCTGGATTGCAACATGTAACTGATTTTAAAAAAATAATTCATATACTTTTCTACAGCTTTATGTGTTGTAGGCCCATTCAATCTTACTATAACAAGAAATTTTAATAAAATATAAAATCTTCAGATGTTGTACTTTTAAGACAAGTCTAGTTTTCTTCAGCCACTGCACAAAAAGGATTAGAGAGAAAAGATTAGTCCGGTTGAAGTGAGAAAGTTCTGGAAACACCAAATTGTGAAGCTTAGCTGAAGTCAGATCTTTCTGCTGCCACCCCTTTATTGATTTTGGATTAGAAATGTAAGCCCACTGTATTGGTAGGCCATGGATTTAGGCCTCGTGCGTCTAAATGGGTCAGTGTAGTCGTCTCTATTGATCACTTGTCAGATTGAAGTGTTCGATCCTGCTGGTGATGATGCTTCAGGAGATTATCCATTGACACGAGCTGGCACCAACATACCCACACACAACGAAAAGTTCCTGAAACCTGGAAGCTGAAACTGAAGAAAGAACAGTGGTCCCTGTAGGCTGGCTCCAACACCAGTTTTAAACCCCGCCCCCTTGATGTAAACAAATAGCAAAACAAATAAATTTCACCCCAGATATTTGTTTAAACGTTGAATTTACACCTTGTTGCTTAATGCTCAAATATTTATTTTCATAGCACATTTAGCTATAATTATTTTGTGCTTAAAGGAAAAGTCATGTGACATTGTGATTGTTTGAGGGAGAGTGGGCGGGACTTGAGCCCCAACTCTATTGTGCAGACTCTGGTTCCACAAATACAACATGGCAGTGCCCATAAACAGGATATTGTGGATTACATTTTGAGCTGTTTTTTGACCCGTGTAACAAGAACGTTAAAAGTTTTAACCTGGTCGTTGGTGACTAATCAGCTGTAGCTTGCAGGATGGTTTTTAGTTTGTAAATAGTTTGTGTAGGTTTTTTTGCGATGACAAGTGAAAGCTTGTTGGCGAAGCTTCCAGACTGATGGTGCGTTTCAGCAACCTTACTCTGCTTTGAAGGCATCTGGTAGGCAGCTCACATATTTTATTCACGCTCTCTGTATGTGTGTGTTTGTGCATGTGCATGTGTGTGTGTGTGGCTATCGCATTGCTGCTTTGTGTTTGGACCGTGGTAACTGTATCTGGTAAAGTCACTGATGTAAAGCTGTTGTAGCTGCAGTAAGGCGATGCTTCGGCAGACGAGCCTCTTCAGCTCATTATGAGACCAGCATATAATCTGCTGTTGGTCTAATCAGGAGCTTTTTGTTTATTCCACTGTGTGTGGTGCAGGTGTGTGTGTGTTTTACTGTGTTTTTGCAGCCAGCCCTTTCCTGCTGATTGTCGCTTTCCTATTCCCAAAACACCCAGGACCCCCCCCCCCCCCCCCCCACACACACACACACACAGCTACACTGCTCCTCTGACAGTCACATCAACCTGCCTCCCGTCTGCACTAAACATGTTCCTATGTGACCTTACTCCCCTGCCTCGTTGTCTCGCCTCCAAACATCATGTGTTGTTTTGCTCTGCTGATTCTTGACATGTGTCAGCTGCTAAAATCCTCTTTGATTTAAAGTATTTTTTATTCATTTTAAAGTTTGTGCACAAAAGCTGTGTGGGGAAACGGGAGAGGATATTCTGGAATGGAAAGCTTTCCCTCCTAGCAGGCCGTTTCTTTCCTGACGCACTGTCGACAGCAGTAGGGTGTTTCCTGTTGGCCGCTTGTCTACACACAATATCACACACGCTCACACTGTCTGGGTCAGTCGATGCATTTCAACAAAAGGTAGTCTGATCAAAGTTGACTTGCAGGAGACTGTTGGTTCCACTTTCACACCCACTTGTTAAGGTTGCCATCATAAACGAGAGAAGCCGCTCGTTCACTCTTTAGAGCTCAGATCTTTTTTAACCCTTAAAGCCTCGTCTTGATGAAAAGTTCCAGTACAGCCCTAATGTATTTATATTTTCTATTACGATGAAAAAAAAAACACAGATTACTCTGAATAACCTCTAACTGTTGTTTATATGAAATATCGAACAAACTATTGACCAAATCAAATAGAAAGTTGTTTTATTACGGGGGAAAATAATTAAACAATTCCTAATCTGAGTCAGATTCTCCAGCCAGAATATGAACACTAAAGAGTTATAGAATGGAATTCTATAATTCTCCTGGAATATCCTGGAATATTTTGCAAAAAGACCTTGAAGCTCTCGACCTTGACCTCTCTAAGTGGCTTTAAGAATCTGCTGGACTCCTGGCAAGGACCAATGCAGACATGTTCCTGTTTTTAGTTTTCTACATTCACTTTATAATCTAGCTGTTTTTTTGTTACTTTTTTTTGCATCTTATTTGTATAAAAAAAATCTGTATGCCTCTTTTATGATTGTCTGTTGTTGTCGTTGTTGTCCATTGTTTTCATCATTCTTTGTTGAAATCAGGTCTCTCTTGTAAATGAGTCCTCGAGGCTCAATGGGATTAACGTGTCTAAATAAAGGTTGAATGAATGAATAGGTGCTGATTGGAATTAAGCATTAATAGCAAATCAAGAACAAAAAAAAAAATAAAGATGGAGAGAAAGAAGGAAAGGCCCAACGATTCTTAAAAGTTTCAGGGGTTGTTCATTTTCTGAGTTTTAATTTAGAATGACTCACACAACCAAATGTTTTTCTCAAAAGTGATGGTTTCAAATGTCATTTAAATAGTCTTTGTGTTCTTGCAGTGTTTTCACAAACGGAATAAAACGCTCATTTATCATCGTAGCGTTGAGACTTTGTTTACTCTCTTAGTTCTTTTCACCCTGCTAACCCCGAACGTCTGTCCTGCAGGAAACTCTGCAGCAGTTGATTGTCATGCCCCTTCCCAACATTCTCCACATCGCCAAGGATCCAATATCAGGTAACACACTTACCTGCAGAGCACACACAAGAGCAAATGTTTTTCTGTCACAAACACTTGATTGTAACTTCAGAATCAGTAGGTATTTCTCTATCAGATTTATCCTTTTAAATCAAATATATTTCAATGTCTTATTGCAAACATGAACTATTTGTGTGATGCTAAGAATATTTAATTGAGGAAGTCTTTATTCCTTAAAAGTTATTTCCAGACAGCCAGACGTTCTTCGTTTTTTATTTTAAGTGGATCTTCATCAATGGTTCCTCGGACTTTGAGAGTTTTTCTTGGCACTTTGGCTGCTTCATTGCTTCAGTTCTTGTACCTGATTATTTTCAGAGGAATGTTTCTCCTTGCCTGAGGTGTGCTGCAGCCCCCACAAACTATCTGGAGACGTTTGAACTTTTCCCCTGTTGATACTTTTTATGTTCTGCTTTGAATAGACTGTCGTGGTTGATATTCATCATTATCCTGTCCTTTGTCCGTCCTCAGCGAAAAGCATGGAAGAACTGAAAAGACTTTTGTTGCTGATCCTCGGTTGTGCTGTGCAGGTAACGCACACACACACACACAGCTTATCCCAGGAAATGTGTGCGTCTTTTTAGTTTTGCATGTCTGTGCACAAGTCTCGATTGTGGCCAGCGACAAGGCGCAGGGTGGGACTGGGTGTGGGTTGGGCTTCAAGATTTAAATAAACGAATCGGTGATTTGCTGCAGGAATCAGCCGTCAGGATTGTCAGATGAAGCGTCCTTCTCAAAGACGCTGAAAGAGGTTAATGTATGAATCTGTTGAAGTTGGTTCTGAGTGACTGAAGGTAATAAAAGCAAAGTGTGGCATGTCGGAGATGAACGAGGTTATATTCAGGTGGGAGGGGGCGACGCTGGTGGTTTTTGTTTGTTTTCAGTCATTTCCACCTCTCCTGTTGCAGCAGAGCTTTTTTCATCTTATCTTTTCTTCCTTCCTTCCTTTCCAAGTTCCTAATTTGTCTCCCATTCTGCCTTCTCTTTGTCTTTCCGCACTGGTTCGACTGGTTTCAGGAAAGAGGAAGGCCAAAAGGGGAGCAATGAATGGGACGGCCGAGGGAGGGGGGAAAACACACATGAAAATTGTGTTTATTTTGTACAAAACAACTCTTTGTTCAGACCAATAAGCATGTTCCCAACAATCTTCAATTTTGCATCCAACCACATTTCCTCCTGTTTCTCTGATGCACACAAAAAAATAAATAAATAAAACACCACCAGCGTTCAGTTTGTAATGTTTTCTCTTCTGTGTGTTTGCTCAGTGTGAGCGAAAAGAGGAGATGATCGAGAAGATCAAACTGCTGGACATTGAGACCCAGGCTGCCATCGTGTCTCACATCCAGGAGGTCGGTTCAGAAGAAACACTGATCGGTGCTTCTTCAAACTTACAGAGAATAACCCTGACTTTTTTTTTGTTTTTCATCAAACACTCCACAAACTGTTAATCGCACACAAGCGTCCACGCTTCCATCATGCAAAGTGTAAACAAGAAAACGATGATCAAGTAATGTAAAGAACAGTTTTTAATGGAATGCATCACAACCAGAGACGCATTTATTCAGGTCATGGTTGAGTATTTAAAGTTTCACAGACACAAAATTCAATAAAATGAATTGGATTAAGTTTATTGACTTTAAAACGTTCATCAACTAAGACACCACAAAAAAAAAACAGATTTTACGTCGGCTCCAGCTTAAATTTAAAGTAACTGAAGCTGGTTGGATGAAAATAGTCGAGGGTCATTACCTGACGTTTCCACCTTTTTGTTTGGTTGAATATATTAGGTTGTTTATTATTGGTATGTTTGTGTGTCCCTTTTTGTTTGCAGGTAACTCACAACCAGCTGAATGTTCTCGACCTGTCCTGGCTGGAGGAAGGAGCGGAGCTCGGTCCGGAAGAGATGGAGCCCCTGTCCCGTAATATGGCGGTGTCGCTACGGCAACTCATCGACCAGCGAGACAAAGCTACCGAGGTACGGAGAGATGATCACAACGACCTCCGTCAGGCTTACGCCGCTGTTCAGATGTTTTATTATCTCTGAGAACACTTTGTGTACAATTGTAAATTGTACACAATTATAAATAAGTTTATAATTATAAACTGCAAGTGAAGATCAGATACTTTTCTTTGGCTCTGATGTTGTGAAGAAAATGACTGATGAAGCAAATTATCAATAATAATTTGGTGTAAGAATGTTCATGTAAGAATGTTTATTTTTATCTTTAAATCCCATACCATACATACCACTTTATTTATAGAGCACTTAAAACAGCGACAAGGCCAACCAAAGTGCTAAATAACACATAATTCCTCTGAAGAAGCAGCCAGATTAATTTTAGATTTAAGTGGCACAGGTTATGTCTGACTGGGTCAGGTTCTGTATCCAGTCAACGCACTTGACTTCTTCTAAAACTTCATTTATTTTGATTGATCAGAGTCAAAAACGGTGTGAAATATTTTAGATTTACCAAATATTGGAATATTTGTTTCTCCATGCTTTTATTCTCAAACATAAAATCTGACGATGCAGTTCTCATAATAGCTGTCCCAGATTAAGATATGCTTCCTACACCAAAGCGTCTCTGCAGCCTGCAGTCTCTTGGCTCATGTTCGATGCTGCTCGGCATCTTGTTCCAACTTAAGAAGTCGTGTGCAGTGAGCTGTAACTCAGGGAAACTGACGTTCTCAGATTGTTCTACGCCTTTGACCAATGCAAATCAGACTAATTTTATATATCTGTTACCTAATTTGATCTTTGATCCTCTTTCATCTGATGCATCAACTCAAACCGTTTGACTCAGATTAACTAATATCTTTAAGTTATCCAGTTATTTTTAGTCCAGCTGCTGTAAGATAATGCATTTGTGCCTCATATTAAAGTGTATTTAGTTTTGTTGTGCAGTAAATAATGGTTTATAATGTTCCAACTATTTTATACTGTATATGGCATCTTATTATCCTAAGTTTTCATAGATTTTCATCTGGCAGTAGAACATGAACATGTAATTTTCATTTATATAAAGAATACAGCCACCCTGCCTTCCAGGTGATTGTGGATCTGACCCAAGAGCGGGACTATTTATCCAGTCAGCAGCCCCAGGAAGTCTGCAGGAACCTGGGGGGGAGCAGCTCAGAGCGCAGGAAGAGCTCTGAAGGCGTGGGAGTGAACAACGGAGAACCGCCATCGTCACGACTGACCAAGGAAGAGAAGCAGCATCTGTCTGTGGAACTTGCTGATGCCAAGGCCAAACTCCGCAGATACAGACAAGAGCTGTGAGTCCATCAGTCACAGAAAACTAAAAAGACAAAACATTATGAGAAGGTTCAAACTACAGAGACAAGACCCTCTAAGACGTGTTCGATGTTATATTTGAGATTCACAGCTAAAGGAATCTTCCAGAGAGAATAAAGCAGCAGTTCTCACACACTTCAAGTCCTTGGATTCCAGGAAGTTTGAGTGAATGTTGTTAGTTTCATAGCTGCAGTTTGGTGATAAACAGCAGCTGGAAGTCATTATACAGTCGGCTCACCTTATTCTGCTGTCTGGTGCTGATAAATGTGCAGTTTAATCACATCAAGGATCCACGTCCCTGAAGGATTACTGAAAACTTTCACACGGCTGTACATTTTCTAGACAATTTAACCAAATACCATAAAATATTCATGAAAAAAAATCTGTTTACTTTGTGTATTTGTTGCCAAATCAGATGTCGAGATTGATTTTATTATACAAACTGATTAATGTGGAAATCTATAAATTCAATAAATGTGTGTGTTTGCAGTGAAGAGAAAACTGAGCAGCTTATGGATTCAAAGCATGAAGTGGAGCGTCTGGATCAGGAGTTACAAAAAGTAAAACAAGAGGTAAGTTCATATTTTAGACTGTAGTTTCACATCTGGATAAAGAGACTGTGTTGCTAAAAACTTGAAAATAAAAAAAAACTAACAAATGTACAGCGTTGTGTAAACTAAGTGTAAAAGTTTAGATGTTTCTCTACAGCGGCTTCGGTTTAAGATTAATAAAACATGCTGTTTATCAGAAACTAGTTTTATTAGAATAATAAATCAAAACACACAAAATAATTTCCACACATTTAACGCTCAAGTATGTTTCAGCAATGTTTTAAACTATCTTAGCACATTTATTTATTATTATAACAAAGAAATAAAGCCAGTGATGCATGATGATGTGTGTGGTTCAGAACCAGTCGCTGTCCTGTGAGGCCCGGTCGGTCCGAGTGTACCGGGACGAGGTGGACTCTCTGAGGGAGCGAGCGTCTCGAGTCGATCGGCTGGAGGCAGAGCTCGTCAGATGTAAAGAGAAGCTCAACGACGTGCACTTCTACAAGACCAGAGTGGAGGTACCGACGGATCTTCAGTGTGATGTTACCGAACTTAACAGATTGTGTATGAAACCGTATCTACACACAAAAAATGAACACACTTCATACAACATCACACCATCTGTCAGCACAACCTGTCAACCAACAATCTGACTCCAGGGGTCATCTGTGCAGCTGCTTTTAGGAGACCTGATACTGTTTCAGTTTTGATTGTTGTATAGTAAGTTACTCCAGTATCTAATAAAAACAGCAGCTTTTACAAGCCCTGATGATGTGACCGATGTCTGACCGACAAAACGGCAACGCTAAATAAATCCTGACTCACAGAGCAGCTGCTTCTGACAGTCCAGTCGATGAATCTTTGTTTCTGTGGTCATTCAGGAGCTTCGCGAGGACAACATGACTCTGCTGGAGACGAAGGTGTTGTTGGAGGAGCAGCTGTCCGCCTCCAGAGGGCGCTGTGATAAACTGCACACACTGGAGAAAGACAACCTGTTGCTGCGATCTAAGATCAACGACCTGGAGATGGTACAGCACCAACTGAGCATTTTCTAGAAGTTTAAAAAAAATCAGACTTAAAAACACTTTAATGAATTCAAACAGAAGTCTGAAAAATGTATCGGTGCACCGTAAATAAATATCAATTACCACCAGATGTAACGATGATTACAAAATTTACCTAACGTCACCTTTCAGCCTTAATTTAAACCAAGACTACAAATCAGACCTTTTTTGTGCAGTTACAGCTTTCTGCTTCCTATAAACTGCTTTTAAATGTCTGCATTCATTTGTATTCAGGTGAATCTGAAATGTTTGTGTCTGAATGTTTCAGGTCATTGAACGTTGGATTTTTCATAAACTGTCCATTTTTAGATGTCCCATTATCCTGTCAAACAGGATGTATGTGTATTTGCAAATAGAAAACTGAAGATTCAGTTGGACCAGTAGTTAAATATTCACATGGAGCTTATTTTATTTCTGAGGTGTGAACTTAAAGCTGCTCAGTTGTGTGATTGTTGTTACAAACACAAACAGGGTCTGCGTGTTTGTGTTGTTCAGGAGCGAGACAACGAGCGCCGGAGGCTGGAGGAGCTGGTGGAGGAGAACATGCTGCTGGAGATCGGACAGAAACAGAGCATGAACGAGTCTGCTCATCTGGGCTGGGAGCTGGAGCAGCTCGCGAAGAACCATGACAACACCAACACAGAGAGTACGACCCCCCAACACCCTCTCTGTTACTGGAAGTTACCATCAGTTTCTAACCGCAACCTTTCTGTTCCACAGCTCGCAAGTCTTTGGTCCACGAGCTCAACGAGTGCGTTTCCAGTCGAGTTCTGAAGCTGGAGAAGGAGAACCGGGAGCTGCAGGCCTCCATAGAGAGACTGAAAGAGGAGAGTCACATTCTGCAGGAGCATCAGCTCCACACTCAAGAGCTGGACAGGGAGAACCAGAGTCTCAGCAACAAGGTAAGGACAAACATCACCAAGATTAAATATATATGTGCAGGATCTGGAGATGAAAATGCATCTGAAAAGTTCTATCCATCTTTGCATGTGCTTGTTAGCTGGAGCGTCTGCAGGGATTACTGGACCAGGAGCGACTGACCAACCAGGACATGGAGTCTCTGGGGGAGGAGTTACTGAAGGAGAAACAGAGTCTGGAGCGAGAGATGCACATTCTGCGGGCCGCGAAGGATCGGCAGGTACTTCAAACACGACAGTTAGGTATACAGGACATCAGAGTACATCCACTGTGACACCCCATTCTCCTCACCAGATCTCAGAGCTGGAGAGTGAGAAGCAGCACTTGTCAGAGGAGGTGGCGTCCCTGCAGGAGCGCGCTCAGTCCAACAGCGAGGCGAGAGTACGCGAGGTGGAAGTGAAGAACCGGCTGCTGCACCAGAGCATCACAGACACCAGCTCCCGCTTGGCCAGCTTGGAGACGCAACTCAAAGTCGTTAGTGAGGAGGCAGAAAGGCTGAGGGACAGAGCGGGGCGCTGTGAGGAGGCGGAGAGGGAGGTGGCCCGGCTGGAGAGGAGCAGGGACGCTCTGAACAGAGAGGTGACCGACAGAACAACGAGTCACAACTTTCATGAGCTTTTTATTAGAATGGATCTGATTCTTTTTTTGTTTTTTATTTGCTTCCAGGTAGCGTCTCTGCGTGCATGCAGTGAGCACTCAGAGGTTCTGGAAAAGCAGGTGACCTCCTTCGAGCAGGAGGTGCACAAGCTCAAGAGGGATAATGAGGAGGCTCAGCGGGAACTGCAGCGTCTGGCCAAACGCGAGGCAGAAAATGACCTGCTGTCGAAGGAAAACCTGGAGCTCCGCTGCTCCATGGAAAACCTTCGCTCCTCATCTGCTCGCCTGCCAACACTACAGGAGGAGCTTAAGGAGGTGCAGAGGGAGACTCAGGAACTGCACAGGAGGCTGGAAGAGGCCAAGGAGGAAGTGTTGGGAGAGAAGAAGAGAGCTGAGAGGCTGGAAGTGAATCTGTCCGCTCTGAACCAGGAGAAGCATCATTTAGAGGAGGCACTGGAGAGGAGTAAAGAGGAGCGTGGGGACATGGAGGGAAAGATTAGGGAGACACAAAGCCGAGAGGAGGAACTGAGGAGGGAAGTAAAGGAACTAAAGGATGAGCGAAGAAGAAGAGAGGAGGGAGAGGAGGAGAAGAAGAAGCTCCAGCTGGATCTGGAGCAATCTGAGAAGAGCAGGAAGCAGCTGGAGAAGGAGAGCTGGAGGATCCGAACACTGCTGGAGACCAAAGAGTCGGAGCTGGAGGACAAATTCAGCAGATTGACTACAGCCGTGAAGGAGCGGGAGTCTCTGAGGAAGGAGGTAGAAAGGTTGAAGGAGGTGTCTGTCAAGTCAAAAGAGCTGGAGCGCGAGAACAAAGAGCTGCAGAAACAAGCGACTATTGACAAGAGAACTCTGGCAACGCTGAGAGAAGTGAGACGATGGAGCTGAATCTGTGTTCGATTTCAAATTAACTTGCATTCTTCATAAAAAGTCTTGGTGTAGACCGGTGTGTCACGGTGGTTTTCGTCTGTCTGTTCAGGAGCTGGTGTCTGAGAAGCTGAGCGTTCAGCAGCAAAGTGTTGACCTGGAAAGACTAAACGAAGAGCTGGAGAGAATCGGACTGAACCGAGAAAAACTGCTGCAGCAGGAGCACACGCTGGAGGACAGGTGACTTCCTGTGACCTGCTCAAAAATCTACATTCTAGGATTGTTGATTGTTAATCTCTTTATCATGGGCACATCAGCAGGTACAAACTGCTGGAGTCACGGCTTGAAGAAACGGTCCAACAGACGATGAAGATAAAGGAAGAGAAAATCAGCGGTTTGGAAAAGAAACTAGAAGAGAGCAACACGCTCAACGCTGCTCTGCAAAGCGAGCTGACCACGGTAGGAATAGACAAATATTTTTCAAAACCCTTTTCAGAGAAAGGGAGTAAATGTATGTTTTTGCGTTTGCAGGTTCGTCAGATGGTTTCTGCTCTGCGTCAGCAACAGGAGGCAGGAGGAGACGCTCTGCAGCGCTCTGGCAGCGAACGCAGTGCCACGGCTGAACTGCTGCGGATCAAAGATCATCTCATAGACGTAGAAAAGAACGTAAGGCCTATCCTGACTAAAACACTCCGTTCACATACTAACTTGAGCTAATTTCCTTGATTGTGTATATTTTGCAGAATGCTTCCCTGCACACAGAGAGCAGTTTGTTAAAAGAGCAGCTCAAACAGCTGGAGAACCAAAACACGTCTCTCAACAGCCAGATGGCAGCGCTGCAGCGGCACACGACCACGTTGCAGGAGCAGAATTCATCTTTACACACACAGACAGCAAAACTGCAGGTGCTGCTCAGTCCTTCTACTTTTTAAATTCAGGTTCTGGTTTTTTTTTGTTTTTTTAATCATCATACTGCGTCTCAGGTGGAGAACTCCACCATCTCCTCCCAGAGTGCCTCTCTCATGGCCCAGAATGCTGTGCTGCAAGGCCAGGTCACTGCCTTGGAGACGGAGGTCGAGTCGTGGCAGCGGCAGCGCGACGAGGCGTGGCGAGCCCGAGAGAGCACGCTCAGCGACCACGAGCGCCTCCTGAGCGTGCACGAGAGGCAAGCGCAGGAGTACGAGCAGCTCATCAGTCAGCACGCGGCACTGAAAGGCAAACAGAGGGCGCTGGAGAGCGAGCACCGAACGCTGCACAGCAAGTAAGGGAATCAAACCACAGCAGTGGTGCACGTTAAAGTTGACCGTCTCTGATGTCTTCAAACACCTTTAAAAGATCCCGATGTATTCAACATTTCCTCCAAACGACTCCGCTTTTCTTCAAACCTGCTGAAGTGAAAATATTACACAGACACACCTGAGAGGTTTGTGCAGGCTTCAGTTACAGACGTTTCATGTCCTGCAGGTACTGCGCACTGCGGCAGTTAAAGGACAAGTGGGAGGAGCAAGAGGGGCGTGGTCAGAAAGAAAAGGAGGAGCTAAATCAGGAGGTCCAGAAGAATAGACTCTTACAGCAGGAGAATTTGGAGCTAAAATCAGAAGTGGGCAGGTACCGTATTAAAACAGTGTTCTGACCCAAATGTTAACGCTGATCCTGAAACTGATCTTTAAACACTTTAGAACCGATCAGTTTATAGTTCTGATCTAGTACTAGAGAAATATTTGTGTTTTTATCATGTTTGATATTTTGTGCCACTTCCTCAGGCTCACACAGAGCCAGTCGCAGCACTCTGAGCAGAACGAGGGGCTCCATCAGCGCATCAACGAACTGAAAAGCTCATTAGGTTCAGCTCAGCTGGATGCGAGTCAGTGGGTGGCACGGTACGATTCCCTAATGGAGCAGCACCAGAACCTGGACCTCACCATGACCAAACTGGACAACCACTGCGAGGTAAACGCGACCTCTATGCTTAAACATCTGGAGCACGGGAGAGTTTGACCTTAAAACGTGTGTTTGGGTGTGTTTAGCTGCTGAGTCGATTAAAAGGGAACCTGGAGGAGGAGAACCACCATCTCCTGAGTCAGATCAACCTGCTGAGTCAACAGAACCACACGTTGCTGGAGAGGAGCATGGAGAGCAAAGAGCTGTACCACCAGGAGCAGAAGTTATACATGTAACAACTCGCAGTTCAACACCTGATGTTGAAACAAAAACTAAACGGTTCTGTGATCTTAAGGTCTCCCGTTTTTGTCTCCGCCTCTGTTTAGCGATAAGCTGAATTCTCTTCGTCGACAAAAAGAGAAACTAGAAGAAAAAATCATGGACCAGTACAAGTTCTATGACCCCACGCCTAAAAAGTAAGACTGTTTTCTAAAGTGAAAGCTTCTTCTTACAGTTGAACACAAACAGCTGTTCATGTTTCAGCCTTTGTAAAAGTTGGGACGTTTCTGTTAGTGTTGCCTGCTAGAGGAGGAAACCAGTGACTCTGCAGGTCTGAACGTTTGATGTTTGGTTCCAGGAGGAGTCAGTGGTCCGGAGCCAAAGCTTTGGTCAAACTGATCAAACCCCGAAAGGAGAGCAGCCGAGAGCGAGGAGGCGACAAGGAGGCCGATAAAGGCAGAGAACGAACGAAGAGCGCTCCGGACATCCCACTGCCCGCCACGCCCACTCTGCTGCCGCCAGAGACTCCGCCCCCTGTTCCTCAGCGCACAGGAAGTGACTCTTACAGTAACCATAGCAACAACAGCACCAGCCCTAGCCTGGGACCACAGAGTCCAGCTCTGACCCCGATCAGAGGTAAATGCACGCGGCAGCACAGAAACGGACCACAGCACGTCTGCAGGAGGCTCGTTTACATGTCTATTGTTTAATGCAGAAACAAAAATGTAAAAAGAACTTTTAATTCTTTGAACCAAATAAATGGTTGGTATTTATTGAGATGCAGCTTCAAGACAATCCTGTAGAGTGCGCCGTTGATCTTCAGATATGAGCCAAAATACAGTAAAAACATGTTTAAATTCAAGTATTTATTAGTAAACTATAAATCTACCATTACCTAATTTAGATATTTTACTAACTCAGATTTTCTGGTTTAAAAGATTTCTAATTTTGCACACAAAATGTAAAAAAAAGAAGTTCAGTGATTCTCAACAAACTCCGTTAAATATCACACGCACGCACGCACACACACACACACACACACACCAGCCTAAAACATAAAATGTATTTTTACAAAATACAAATATAGAAAACATTAAAAAGTTAAACCATCTCAGAAAACACCAACAGAATTGTCGTTGGTCAAAATGCTGCTGCTGTTTATTCTTTGAATGTTGTGATGTTTTTATTTCATTTTGTTCATAACTTCACTTTTTCAGTCATTTAACTCTGAACTCTAAATCTATACGTCGTTTGACGCCATGTTTGGAGTTTCTGAGTTTGAGAATCATCTACAAGCCTTGTCGTTGTGTAAAGAATGTGTGTAGTGATGAGTTTTATTAGTAAAAACAATCTGAGTTAGAGCAAATTTCCTGTTTTATAACCAGTTATCCTACATTTCACTGGTCGGCATCCAACTCGTCAGGGCTGCAGCGATGAAGCTGTTTGTCTTTGACTCTGTGTACATTTTAATATCGTGGCCTCTGGCTTGAAAGTGTTTAGAAAGAAAACTGTCTGAAAAGTGGAAATCCTCTTCCAGCTGCACTGTCTGTTCAAATGTTGTGATCCAGCTCTGATTATTATTATTTTTTTAATATATTTTCCTTCCAAGCAGCCGGACTTTCTCGTAATATTTTAAAGTCATCTTAACGATCTTTGAAAAATCAAAGTCTACTCTGTTTTAGTCTGATCTAAACGTTAACCACCACAAGAGCTCATGCTTCATTTTCTGTGTTCATTTTCTATTTTTAGTTTGTCTTGAGGCTCAGCTCAACTCACACTCAGCCTAACAGCTAAAACAAATCTTCAGAACTTCCAACCTGATGAACGAAGACTAGTTTTTAACTGTGAGGTCCTCAAAGACAGACGAGCTGAAACTAAGGACTGCATGTTTGGTTCAAAAATAAACTGGACATTCTTTCAAAGCCAAAATATGAAGCTGTTAAATAAGAGTTTTGAGTCTTTTCTGTGAGTAAAACTTTATAAACGGGCTGCATCAGTGATGAGTCCAGATTTTCTGCCAGCAGTTGTACATCAGAATTTATTTTACCACCTCCTCCATCTGTATAGATTGGCTTTAAAACCCCTGAAAACTAAACGAACATTTATTTACTGCTGTGTGAGTTGAGGTCAGCTAAGAGTTTTGGTTTGTGTTTCTGTCTAAATGATTCTCCTGCATGTCATCTGTTGGGAGTCACTCATCGATAACTTCTAATCAATAACTTCTAATCATTAACTTGTTGTTTTATTGTACTTATTTTCTGTCATTTTTCTTCCTCTCATTCCTTTCCATCTCTCAGCTCCTCCTGCTCCCAAACGCTTACGTTTTCTCCGCAGTAAAAGTCAAGACAAGCTCCTCCCCTCCTCTTCCTCCACTTCCTCCTCTTCCCGTCCCTCCCTCTCTCTCACCAGACGCCTGCGGTTTTGGTCTTCTTCTGACATCGCAGCTGAAGTCCTCAGCAGCTCGTCAGTCTCTGCCAATGGAGTTTTCTAAAATCCCCTATCCTCTTCATCATCACCACCATCACATCAAACCCTCATCACAAAACACACACACACACACACAAGCAGCTGCATGTTTCTGGACAGTTTTAATAGTAAGTGGTGTGTGCTTTCTGTGTGAACGTCCTCGTCCTACCTTCACGCTCCCTCAGTGTTTTGAACTCAGCGGCGCCTGAAGAAAAGCTTAGACTGCAGAAAACACGACCCGTTTGCTACACGAAGCTTCGCCGCAGCTTCCTCTGGTCGCCACAGTAACCTCACTGCCGTTTCAAACCCGTTTGCTGCTGCAGCACCCTCCTCCTCATGATGCTTCATCACGTCAAACAAAACCTGCTGTTTTTAACAGATCAACAATTTAACTTAGCGTTTTTATTTAAATAAAGAATGCAAAAGGAACACGCCTGAGGAAACAACCTGTTTACACCTGATCAGATCTTTGTTCCAGTCTCAGATTCACTCACTGCCCATCAGTTTCATTTTATACTAAAATTTTAGTTTCACATTCTACAACTTATTTATGTATTAACCAATTTTTAACAATCAAATCCCATTGAGATCACTTTAGAAAAGAGGCCCCGGGCCTGCAGGCAGCCTAACATGCATGTTTTTGGACTGTGGGAGAAAACCCTCGCAAACAAAGAGAACATGCAAACTCCACGCAGAAAGACCCCAGGTCCAACCCAGGGATTGAACCCAGGACCTTCTTGCTGTGAGGCAACAGTGCTAACCACTAAGCCATCATGCTGCCCACTTCATCTCACTCCAAAAATGTAAAATGTTTCTGAATCCTTCATCTAAAATCAGCAGCCATCTCCCACAGTTCAGTGCAGAGCTGATGACCACATCATGCTGTAAACCACTTCTCAAACTACTACATGCACGTTTGGTGTTTAAGATGCAGCCTGACTCAATAAGTCAGACAACGTTCAGTTTCTGCCGGTTTGGTTTTCAGAGGAAATTGTAAATAGAACAATGTCATAAAAACAAATACTTTAAGAACAACAGCAGATTTCTTAACGCTCTGCTTTGCTTCCGTGGTAACTAATGCCAGTCCCAGTGTTTCTGGACCGTCACCCTCTGTGCTTCCCTTCACTGCTTGCACCGCGGTCACATCGTGACACAGCGTTCCTTTAAAGCTTTCTGATTGGTCCACAGGACTGACAGACCGGGGCCGGGGCGTTAATCGAGGCAGCAATGAGAGCATCAACGGAGAAGACGGACAAGGTGATTAATATTTTATACCCTGAGTTACAGGATGTTCAAATGTTATTTAATTTGTTGGTATAAAGAAGCTAAAACTGGATTGTAATAAAAATAAAATTAGCAAAACTGTAGCTGAAAGCTAATTGGAGCAAATCCAAGCACACTGTTCCTGACTGAGCTGAACGTTTTGATATGAGTGGGGAAAAAAGCACAAAATATGCAAAGTAGTTCACAGAAACTTTACAGGAGATGCTGAACAGGAAAACATTTTAAATGACTGAATACACAGCTGATAAAATATTTTAATTACTTTTTTTTGTTTTTTGCTCCAGCTCTGACTCAAAGGAACCGCCTGAACTCCACGCCGAACCATCAGCCATCTTCACTGGGTCAGACCAACAGCTCCAGGCTGGGACAGAACCGCAGGCCCAGAGGTAGATCAACCTTTTCATACGGTTCCATCTCAAACTAAAGCAGAACGTGACCGCTTTCATGACGGAGCAATAAACTTCCAGGACTGTTTGATGAAGACCCTCGCCACGTCTCCTCAGACTCAGTTTTTGGTTCCCATGGCAACACAGGAGGCCGGCCCGGCTCGGCGGACTACAGCCACAACACCTCGAGCTCCAACTCACCCGTCACCTGCAGAGGTGTGTATGTGATTAAAGATGAAGACTGGTACTGATCACAGATCGATCAGACAGGGATCAATAACTAAACCAGTTTCTGTTGTTCAGACGCATCGAACCGTCAGCCTCGATCTGCCAGCCTCTCCAGTGATGACGTCATGGGTCCCAGCCAATCACTGTCGCGTAGCTCTACGCTTCCGTATGACCACGCCCCCCAGAGAGCCCAACCTCAGAGAGGAGGCGGAGTCAGGACTAGAACGCGACCATCTTCTCCTGGGAGTGAGATGGTGACACTGGAGGAGTTTCTACAGGAGAGCAACCTGCAGTCTCCTCCTGTGGTGAGAAAGATCTCCAGATATAAATATTTTAAATTATTTCAACTGTAAATAGCATGGGGTAATCTGGTGAGATAGAGCAAACTGTAACTGGAGTTTATTGAATTAAAAATTTACAAAAACATTATTAGGTTTATTACAGATTAAATTTTTATGAAAAACTTTATTCTGGTTTTCTCTGCAGCTCTCGACAGAAAGCACCAACGACTTGTTGACTGACTATTTCACTCGAAGCCCCGCCCCCTCGGCTTTAACTGGTAGAGATCAAATTACCCCAACCAGCTACGTCACCCCCACGGTCCAGTCGTCGAATCAGAGGCCGGGTCAAAGCGTGAAGCCTTCCCCTCGCCAGCCCGTTGGCCAGTCACCCGCCTCGAGCCAGCCTGACGCTCAGAGAACCGGCCAGTCACTGAGCAGGGCCTTCAGCCTGGCCTCCGCTGATTTGCTGCGTTCAAATGGACCAGACAGTTACCGTGGAAACGAGGGATCTCCCTCTCAAGATGCGGTGGTTCGGCGACAAGGGGGAGGGGCCAACACCCGCGAGCGACCACTGTCTGCTAGATATGGAGCTTCAGACGGCAACTTCCTGAACGCACCCATCCATCAGTCGACGTCCCTGAACCTGCAGACAGAGAGGTACGCTGAGAGGGTCAGGGCCGCCGCCTCCCGGAATGGCCACCGTGGAGAGGTCGCCATGGTTACCCCCGTCAGGGCCGCACGACCTGAAAAAGCCTCGGATCATAGAGAGGGGGAGGGGCTGTCAGGAGACCCCTCCCAGTCTAACAAAGACGGAGACAGAGTCCGGGGCAGCTCGGTGGAGCGACCCAAGAGCACGCCGGCTTCACCCGACCCAAACAACGACCCGCAAACGGTGTGGTACGAGTACGGCTGCGTCTAAACGCTGGGGCTCACGTCTGAGTGGGCTGTGTCTAAAGACTGGAACAAAGATGCTGCTGCTTCAAGACTTTCTCTCAAAACAAATCTAAAGAGGGTGCAGTCTGTGGTTTGGCTTGGTCTAAATCCTGGAGAGCAACAGCAGCTGCTAAAACAGGAGCTGTCAGTCACACCGACGTGACACGCCTGCAGTTTGTCCACAGACATCTCCACCTGAACATGACGGGCGCTCTGCAGGTTCTCTGATCCAGCACGACTTCATGCAAAAATCACTGAAGAATCTTTAAAGACTCGTTTCAAATTTAGCTGTAAATTAAAACTTTTATTAGATTTTAATCCGCAGTTGGAGGACTCAAGGTTAATACGTGAGGAACATCAAAGAAAGTGCACGTTTTTGTGCACGAGAACACTAAAGCTTGTCCGGTCTATGACCCGGAACCTCAGTGTTTACCAGCGGTTCTGCACACACACAAGACAGCAGTGGCTGAATGTATCATGTTTCTTTTATTTTTACTGTCAGGAACAAACACTGGAAAAGCCGCCAGGAGGAGAGAACCAGGAGCGCGAGGAGGAGGTGGTGAGTGGACTGAGGAGGAGGGGGGCACCTCCTGCTTAATTACAGTTCTCTCTCCGTGTTTAGCCTCTGTCCCAGCATGCAACACTCTGACACTTTACGGGAAACGTTGCTCCAGCCGAGCCAACATTAGTTTCACACATGCACACTGGACCTGGGCCCTGGTCCCTCAGGGGGGGAAGGGGGGGCAGGTTCACAAACCATCGAGCTGGACTTCATTCACAAACACGACAAGGGGAACCACGGCGTTCGGGTCGGGAGCTGCTGCGCACCAACTGATCCAGAAACACGACCGAGAGGAGAGCCTCAAACACTCGAGTGTGTGGAGTTGGTTCTGATGGACCTCCATTCAGTTTATCCGTTTCAGAACTTCCTGATGCATGCTCAGTAATCCAGGTAGAAAAATCTAGTTTTGGGGCCGGGGTAAGAAAACCGAACAATCCCAACTTCAACCTGTTAGTTCTTCTGTCTAAACATCAACTAGTGTTAGAAAATGTTCGATTATTGGTGCTCCTCTTTTTCCTTTTTAACACAAACATCCACCAAAGAAAACTCAAGAGTGACTGTTTTTGGTTCTGATGATCGGATGTTGAGGCTCGTCATGTGATCCCTTGTTCTGCTTCAAGTCCAATATCTTAAAAACGTATTTACAGAAGCACTGATGACAGATTAGAAAACTTCTGATTTACAAACGCAGACTTAACATAAATGCTGTATTTTCCGCCCTATAAGTCGCGGGTTTTTGTATAATTTACACGCCCTGCCACTTAAATGCCGAAGCAACGTATTTAAGTTTTTTCTTCCACGTTTATAAACCAATTTTTGGCTGCGATATGATCGTTTTCATTCATTCTGACTGAAAATATTAAACTCTACCATTACAGCCGCTAGATGGCTCTCGAGTGGTATAGCATGCCGTTGTGTCATGTAATAAGTAAAAGTGGCTATTAATGACGCAGTCGGCTTGCCATACCTGCCACCTTCGTTCTGCTCTCTTGGAGCAATTGTCAAACCAGTTTCATTTCGCTGCGCCGCCCTGGTGAAATGCAGCTAATTTGACCATTGAAGTTCATTTATGAAGTAAAAGTTCAACTGAGACACCTTTACTATAAAGTCGAGCAAACAAATAATTGTTTTTAACTGTCAACCTTGTTAAAGTCCTCCCGTGCATGCTCCCGCAGCCGCCATTTGGCAGCCAATCGATTTGTGGCACAACACCGGCCCACATTTCTGGGTTGTCAGAGGTGACGCATAATAGATGCGACGTATACGGTGAAGTGGTGTATTTATGGATTTTTCCACTTTATTAGACATATTTGGACTGATGCGACTTATAGGATGGTGCGACGTGTACGGCGGAAAATACGGTAGCCATAAACATTGGCTAAAACAACAACTTGCTAAATTAAAGTTGTAAACGACTTGCGACTGCATGCCTGCGTTTGTTTATCTTGGAAAATGGACTGGAAATGAATCGACAACGGTGACGTCCGTTGAAGAGTCATTTAGCATCGAGAAGCTAACAACGTTAGTGTATTTGTACATATTGATGCTCAGGTTTGAGTAAAGTATGCAGATTAAAGTGCTTTGTTTACACTGAGTGCGTACCTGTATTTCAGATGAGAATCTGGAAAACTACTGGAGTAAAATATTTCAAGCTGCACCGTTTCTTAAAGTTCAAGTTGACCTTTTTATTTATTCGATTTCATAGTTTATTAATGGTCAGATTCGCTCAAACGCGTTGAATAAATAAATAAAAATCTGATTTCTTTGCATAAGACTGGAAGACAGAACAGCAGCACAAAGGTTTACAACCGTCTGAACGTTTGCTCCGTCACCTTTCAGTCGAGTCTGACGGCAGCTCAACTTCGGCTACAGACAATAAAAGCTGCTAAATAATGCAGCAGCTGCGTCGGGTTTCATAGGTCAGCGGTTCAGATCCTGTTCGGGTCTGAAGCCTCTCGACTACAAGAACCTTCTGTAGCCAACGAGCGTCCGAGTAATCAAAAATATCAAAGCTGTACTATTACCCACAAAGATCCAAAGCAACAGATCAGAGTCCTGACATTTCAACAAATCCAGAAGCTTCACTTTTCATCGGTTCTCTAATTTACAGAAGACGAGACGTTTTACCACTGGAAGAAAAAATAAATGATGAAAACGCAAGCGGTTGTTTTTTGTTTGTTTGTTTGTTTTTAATAAAACATCCCACCAACATGTAAACGCTGACGATGATGCAACACTGGACGGCTGAAGACGACAGCCGACTGATTATTTCTGCACATTTTGAACAAAATGTCATGAATATGCAACAAATAAGTTATTTCCTGTAACTTTTGTACATTTTTAGATTTTTTTTTTTTTTTAAATAACTTTTTGAATGTTAGGACTTTTTATATAAAATGTTGAACTTGAAAATGGAAAGAAAAAAAAAATCCTGTCAGCTGGTCCAAACTGGTTTCAGTTGTGTTTTTAGTTTATTTTATTTTGAGAAGGCTTTAAGTAGTCATGAAGGTTAGCAGGTGAAGTCTGTCGGGTTTCTGTTTGTGGAAGAAAATCCTGCGTATTTCTCCACTCGTTTCTGCTCACCTGACCACTCGAACCTTTTCTGTGTGAAAACACGAACTCTGCTGCGACGCCAGAAGACGGACGTCGCTCGTGTTTCTGCTGGAACTGAAGCTGCTGCTGATTTGATGTGAAAACTGCTGAAAAACTGACAAAGTTATGAGTTTGATTCTGCAGAGATTCAAAATAAAACCTCTAAACCTAAACAGCCTCTTCGAGTCTTTAAGTTTAGACATAATTTAACGCGTTCAGACGATGTTCTGGTCTGATCTTAACATTTGAGATACAAGTTGTGGACGACTCTCAGCTACTGCCACCAAATTTTTCTCATTAAGAGATAAAACCGTTTTTTGTGTTAAAGTTGATTTAACTGGTGTGCATCGAATCGACTAAAAAATTAATCCGTTGTAGACGTATAACTTTATGAGAGTTTCAATCTCCCCAGTGTTTGAGACATTTTGCTAACAGACAATAAAAATGCTGCTTTGACTTTCGACAATGGGTAATTATATATATATATATATATACGTTCTTTTAAAAAAAAAAACTGAAGTTATTGATGCAACGTGACGCTTTGTTTAGGTCAAACTAAAACCATCCTTTCTGTGCAAACAGGAAGTAAAGGTTTTAGTTCAAGCCAAATGTGATGCCAGGGTGGAAAGACATCAGCAATGACCTGATGAATTCAGAAGGGGTCAAAGGTTATTTCCAAAATATTTACTGTCAATCTCGCCCACAGAGTTGTAGCCGTGTGGTCAGATGACTCAGCTACAACCCCAAAAATGACGACCCGAGTTTAAAAACTGCATAATTTGGGACAAAATATAAATGTACAAAATTGTTTACATCAATTTTAAAAAAAATAGGCTGTAGTATTACTGTGAAGTTTAAAACTAAATCAACTATTAGTGTGAAAATAATGATTAGGTCAAAATGTAATTGTGACTCGTTTTTAATAATGAAATAAATCAAGCCTTAATTTTTTATCACGTTGCCATATTTTTTTAGAACATCTTGCGTAGTTTTCAGTTCGATATATTGACCTGCAACATGTTGAAATTTGTCCTAAAATGTGTTAAATGTTAAATTTTCTGTCTAATTTATCTGGAACTGGTGGCTAGCAGCACAAAGAGATGAATAGTTCCTTTACTTTGTTGTTTGGGTTTTCTAAGACATTTTATTTGTATGAACATGGACAGAAAAACTAAAACAAGTCTTGTGTTTATGAATCTTATTCTTCTTCGTAAAGTTTTTGATCGAAGCAGGCCCGAGAGCCAGTTGCTTAATGAAATTAATTAATCCAACAAAAACTGTGTCAGAAAGATGAAACTAAAGATTCTGCAGAATAAAGATTTGTCAGAAATAGCAGCAGTTGTAAAAGGAGTGCCCTGAGGGGTCCGGTACCGGACTGCATCCTTCAGGACCAGCTGGGTCCAAGTCTGCAGGTTCTGTTCTGTGAGAGTAAAGAGTTCACATCTGAATAAAGAAGAAACAACTAAAACACTTCTTGCTTCAGTTCACTTTTAAAGATGGCCCCCACGGCTAATTTGAGCCAACACACTTTAACTGAGTCAACTTTACAGACACAGAGCGGGAGTTTGAGGTGGTAGTAGCTGAGAGTCCTCCTCATTCTGGGAGTGAGCTACTTCTAATACTCGAAAACTGGGGCGTGAGAGGCGGCGGGCGACAAGCATTCCTCCAAGAGTGCCAGGCCTTTAATGGCCGCGTTGGACCGGTTCGGGCTGAGATGCGCGCGCGGGCAGGACCGCCTCCCCGGATGTGCGCGAGGCGCGGAGACGCAGAGGAGGCGCTCACTTTGACGCAGCTTGTCGGAGCGGAAAGAGCCGGCAAGTCTTCACCCGAACTCAGTCCTCTGTGGACCCGGGAGGTTCTGGACGGGTACCGAGCTCTGGGATTCTCCTGCTCCGA